GCATGTTACATAATATTATTTGTTAATTATTGGTTATCATAAATAAAAATCTATTTTTATACATCGTGATATTAATTATATGAAATACTTTCACTTACGATAAACGTTCTTTGGGATCTGAGAATTGAATTAGTGGGCAATTCTCACTGTTACTATTATTATCCCATAAATATCCCCACAATATGCACTAAGCTTCAAAAAGTATGTGTCATGTCATTTACCATTTGCTCACTGTACATATGGTGATAAGACTATACAGTATTGTACATACTTTTTCCATCACATAATGTGTGTAACATCTACAGTGTTGATAGAATGGTTCAATATATGTGTACAAATAGTTTAAAATGACATTTCAGTGTAAAAAACAACTGCATATCTCGCAGGAGATCATGAATGAACTGATCTCTCACCTAACCAGCCCCTTTCCCCGGCTGACCATGTGTCCCTTGCACCACAACTTCACGATGATGCTATTACTAATGGGGAAGCATTAGATTGACTGAGATTATCAATAATGATTATCTCAGCCACAGTAGCAGCGGCACCAGCAAGAGAACAAGACGCACCGGTACATAAAAAGCTTTATTTTCTTACTTCTGGGAAGGGCAAATAATAAACGTTTGTATTCCAAACATTAGAGTGTTCCTTTACGATGTAATTGTTTATATTTCTTTGGTGATGTTGCTTGCAGTGGTTTTTGTGGTGTTTGTTCTGCTCACGAGCAAACATTTAAAGATTTTGGTGATATTTGTTAATGATTTAAAAAGCACTGAATGTAATTTCATGAAAAAGTGCTTTTAGTTGTTGATTTGATATGTGTACAATGGTTCACAGTTTTCCCCTAATCCTGACAAATTACAGGGCACTTTTTCACCAATCCACTAAAGGAAACAGTGGTATAAGAAAGTATCATAACAGTAGGATACTATAACCACTAGGCAGTCCCCCCACTACAGCCCCAATGCCCCATAACAACCCTAATCCCTCCACTACAGTCCCTACCCCACCTACTATAGCCCCCTTCCACAGCCCCAATGCCCTATAACAACCCTAATCCCCCACCACAGTCCCTATCCTGCCACAACTCTATCCCCTAGAGCCCCCGCCACAATCTGATTGAATAGCCAAGTTTAACTCAGCTTTTGGGGTGGGGGCATATTAATACTTCAATGTAAATACTGCTGTTCCTACAGAACAGTGATGTTTTTAGTTGCAGAGTTTAACAGACACAGACACTGCACCAAGACCACTTCACTGAAATTAAGTGGTTTGGATGCCCATTGTGCCCCTTAACAGTCAGTGGTGTATTTTGTTTTTGTGCTGCCTTAGGAATGAATAAACTCGGGCACCCCCCAATCTAAATGTACCCCACACCTTCCCATCAAAGCAGCACATTTTCCAGTTTAAAACCCACCTCTTCCCCTGTAAACTCTTCCTCTTTAGGCTCCACCTTTCCAGCTATTCCTCTCTGTACATTAAATGTGGATAACAAGTGCCCAGTGGTGTAGCTAGACCTTTTGTCGCATGGGGCTGCCTGAGTTTGCCACCCCTATCTCGACCCACGCCATGTCCGGTGCAGTCGCAGATGTCCGTGGCTGCACCAGACATACCACTTTTAAGCACTCAACGCCTCTAGCCCAACACAGTTTGCAACCTTTTTGAAGATATACACCCAATGAATACATGCCTGAAATATTCATGCATGTAATTCATTAGGAACATATCTACTAAACAGTGATTTTATAAAGGGGAGTGTTACTTTAAATAATTATTGTTACTGTAGCGCTTCAGTATATTTACCTTTTTATTAGTGTGAAAGGAAACACTTAGGAGTGAAAAGTGGCTTATTTAATTAGATTTTTTAATACACCTTTAAAAATGTAACCACCTTAAAGGGATACTGTTGTTATAGTCACCAAAACAATTGTAGCTTAATGAAGCCATTTTGGTGTACAGATCATGCCCCTGCAGCCTCACTGCTTAATTATTTGCCATTTAGGAGTTAAATCACTGTTTATGCAGCCCTAATCACATCTCCCTGCATGTGACCTGCACAGCCTTCCTAAACACTTCCTGTAAAGAGTGATATAATGTTTATACTTCCTTTATTGCAAATTCTGATTAATTTAGAATTTCTTATCTCTTGCTCTGTTACTAGCTTGTTAGACCATACATGAGCCTCCTGTGTGTGATTAGAGGGATACTGTAGGCACCCAGACCACTTCAGCCCATTGAAGTGATTTTTTTTTTTTTTCATTGAAATGTTTTTATAAACTGCAATAATTACTTTGTAGGGTTAAGTCCTCCTCTAGTGGCTATCTACCAGGGGTCTAAACGATGCTGGACATCCTCACACTATGCATGAGGACTTCTAGCGTTGAAGGAATCCCCATAGGAAAGCATTGAATAATGCTTTCCTATGGGGAGATCCTAATGCGAGCGAGGCCATTGACGTTCATGCGCATTAGGTCTCCCCCGCCGGTGGCCGGCATTGGGGGAGAAGCGTGGGCGGAGCTGAGACAGCACTGAGGGACATCGGCGCTGGACCCAGGTAAGTGACAGAATGGGTTATTAACCCCTTCTGCACCACGGGGGTGGGCCTTGACAGAAGGGGAAGCTACAGTGCCAAGAAAACGAGTTTGTTTTCCTGGCACTATAGTTTCCCTTAAAAGCTCAATTTACAGAGCAGGATATAAAAACATTTAAAGGTAGTAACATATGATCGAAATTTAAACCATTTTTTTCATGTAGGCTGTGTCAGGTGAAGTGTGGTTAGGGCTGCATAAACAGAAGCAAAAGTGATTTAACTCATAAATGGCAGAGAATTGAGCAGTGAAACTTCAGAGGCATGATCTATACACGAAAACAGATTCATTAAGATAAAGTTGTTTTGGTGACTATAGTGTCCCTTTAATATACATTTATTTTTTTGCAGGGAAGGATGGGGTGTGTGGAGATGGGCTGGGGAGGGTACAGGGAGGGATGGGAAGGGGGGCTGTTGAGGGCGCAGGGAGAAATAGGGTCTGTGCAGGGAGGGAGGGAGTGGGATAGGTACAGGGGAGAGATGAGATCTGTGCAGGGAGGGAGAGGGCATCTGTGCATTGGAGGGAGGAGTACTGTTAGGGTGCAGGGGAGGGAGGGTGACTGTACGCGGGAGGGAGGGTGAGAGGGGATGTGTGCAGGGAAGAGCATACCTGGTGTCTCTGACAGGCTGCTCTTCCTCTTAACTCCGCAGGACAGGACAATACAGGAAGTGAAGTCACTTCATCCTCCTGCCCCGCTTATTCCTCTCTCTCACTGCACCGCACAAAGGAGACCTGGGAAGCAGAGCAGGACCGCTGCCAGGTTTCACTCATAAGGTTGGAGGAGGGTCACTGTCAGTATAGGAGGGAGCAGGGACATTATGCTCTCTGGTTGTCCGGTGTCATCATGTAGGCTGCCATAGTAAAGAGGGGACCCAGGAAACACAATCTTCAGCTTCCACCAGCTCCTCTCTCCAACTCTCGTGAGCCCGGTCTGCATGCCACGTGGAGCATTGCCATGGCAAAGCTATAGAAGCTAGGGACTCGCAAGAGTGTGAGAGAGGAGCAGCTGAAGATCACATTTGCTGGGTCCCCTCTTCACTATCCATGCAGCCAGATGCCCGCACTGGCACATATATTGATAATTTCTATTTATATATGTGTACATTAGCAATGTGGGGCCCATTATTGGCTGTACCCTCTGACAGCGACTCTGACTGCCATACCAAACATGCAAAAAAGGGGCAGTAAAGCTCCATTTGCAGATAGTTACAGCCTTGCGGAGGGTGTCACGGAAGGGAGTTTGGAAGCTGCGTTTTGCCGCCTAAGACAAATGCCTTGTTAGCCTCGTTAGAGATACATCGCTGTTAACAGTATTACTCACCTTCCCCTGCAACTCGCGACCACCAGACACCCAACGGAGTAGAATTTTTGCATATTATGCAAAGAACCCAGACGGTGACAGAGCCGCTTTAACAGCATGTTTGCCAGCCCAGTCTTACCACAACAAAATAAAAAGGGGTTTAATCACTAAAACCAAACTATGATGAACTTATAACTGAATTGCAAAACTGAACTCCAACTCATAGCGAATTGAAATACAGACATCACAATTTAAACTAATCCAGCCAAGCTGTCATTATAATCAAACTGATAAATGTCTGCATTTAGTGAATATGTTACTATAACTGAATGGAAATTTCATCCAAACCAGCTCTAATTGGCCTTAATTTTTCAACTGAGTTTTTAATTCACAACTCGCAGTTTAGTAAATCGCCCTGACATTCTCTCTCGGCCTCCCAATCGACCCAGTAATAATAATAATAATAGCAATGCCTGCTTGTCATTGCATGACTATAGCTGGGATGGAAGAAATGACTGGCCCCAGGGCCACGCTTTGCCAAGCAGCCGCTGGATGCTGTGATTGTGCGCACTGAGCGCTGGGTGTCAGCTGTGTGTATCATCCATAGACAGGCACAGCCAGCAGGGGGAAGAGGAGGAGCAGCAGCCGGTGGGCCGACCACCCATCCCCCAGACAGAGCCGGAGTACCAGGGCCCCAACGACCACCACCACCAGGCAGCACAGACAGGGAGAAACATTGCAGACAGGACAGCCAGCACCCAACAACGTAGGGAGCACCGTGACTGCTGCTATATAGGAAACCAGAGCTATAAGACCCCCAGCTCCCTCCGTGTAACAGAGAAAATAGAGGTACTGCTGGACTGTTACCTCCTCCCCACCCCAATTCCACTTCCCCATCAGCTGACAGTGTCAGTGCACTCACCCCCTATCACCTGGCAAGAGAGGGGTCTCCCAGGAGGAACGTTCTAATACATACAAACAGCTGCTGGTCATTGGAATTTATTGTATCATCATCATTCTTTTTATTATTATCCCTGTATTGTGGGAGGCTGACTGCGGTTAGTAGATCAGGGCTCAGGCTGGGGCTGCCTGCTAGGCGGAGGACAGAGAGGATGTTAAACGTGGAGAGCTTGGATCGAGTGGATCTCTGCGAGAGTCTGTTGACGTGGGTAAGTGTTAAAGGGATCTCCCATTACCCTCCTCTCCCTTCTTCCCTGCTAAAGTGCGAGGCCTTAGTAAATAGTGCAAACACTGGTCTGGAAATTGGAAATGTGGCAATAAGATGACTCACTTACTGGCTTTATCCAGGGGATTGGGACATTTTATTTGGACCCAAGCTTGATTATAGTAAATGATTGAGAACTTAATGCTTACTGAGGGGTTAAGTATGTGGGGAATTGGCTTTATTGTGTTATTTCGTTCATTTGTGTTTTTTTAATTTTTATTTTGTAGTGCTCTAAATGTGTGACAAGGCATATATAACTAAATGCTGCTAATACCTAAAATTTGGGAGAGGGGGCGCTGTCATTGCCTATATTCAGGTCCCTGGTGTGTTACTAAGAGGGTTACTGGTTTCCATGGTGATTGTTATACTTATGGAATGTTCCCCCCTCCCAATTTTCTCTTGATACCTGCCCCTCTAATGGGTCATGTGGTAATTTTGGTAAAGGTGTATTTTAGCGTATTTTATTAGCCGTTTCGTTCAGGAGTGATTAAGTGGCACAATAAGCAAAAAAAAACCTCCAAATAACAAAATGCTAAAATACACTTTTACCCCCACATTCTAGGTAAGACAAATACTATATGAGTTCGTTATTTTGCTTAAATTACACCTGAGCGAAACGGCAAATAATAAAATACGCCATTACCGTAATTTTTACATAAACAAAATGGAAATGCTGTTTTGAAACCATGTTGGTGTTTATACAATTAATAGTACATTCAAAGCAAATTAATCATCAGCTTATTGTCGTGGCTAAGATGTCCCTGCAACCTCTTTATTTTATTTGCGGTTTATCTGACATTGCGTAAAATATGTAGCACTCAAACTCCACTCCTAACCCTCTAATTTGCACAGGCATCATTGTCTTATTCAGTTGTCTAATTACTTGTTCCATATAGGCATGGACTGCCTTCTAAGGCTGTGCAAACCTACCTCCACGAATTGCAGTATGTATTGCATCATCTATTGCTTTGTTCTGTGTGTTAACACTATTACATTTTATTCTGTGCTCAGAGTAGAGTTGGTAAAGCAGACAGCACTGGGTTTTTCTTCCCGTAGAATGGTTAAAATCATGGTAATGTTGGAGCAGGCCCGGGTGGCACCTTGGCCATCTGAGATGAGTAAAGACTCATCACTATACTACACGTGAAGAAACATCACAATTATCATTACTGTATTACTTTACAGAGAGGGTAGTGGACGCATGGAATAGCCTTCACGCTGAAGTGGTACAAGTTAACACAGTCAAGGAGTTTAAGCATGCGTGGGATAGGCATAAGGCCAGGAACTAATGAAAGTATTTAGAAAATTGGCCAGACTAGATGGGCAGAATGGTTCTTATCTGCCCTCACATTCTATGTTTCTATGATGAAACAGAGTTCACAATCTTGTGGTTTCGTATTGAGCGTTTGTACACATTGGAGAGAACGTGAACCTGTAGGAGAAACAGGGGATTGTGGAGAACTGACAAGGGGTTGACAATTTCATACCAAAACTATTGGATTGTGGCGGGGAAATCCAGTTTTTGTTTTTTACCTATATTTTTAAATTCCATTGTCAATGCGTCACAGTTGAGTAGATAAAAACCTATTGTCAATTATTTTGATTGTCTTTGTGTTTGTCTAGAAACTATCTACCAGGAAGTGGGTGGTGCTAATGATTTTTTTCTTTCTTTCTTAGTGGTTATTTTAAAGGACCACTATAGTGCCAGGAAAACATACTTGTTTTCCTGGCACTATAGTTTTGTTTTTTTTCTCTGAAACTGCTATGTTTATAGAAAAAAGGGTTAAACCTAGCTGGACCTGGCACCCAGACCACTTCATTAAGCTGAAGTGGTCTGGGTGCCTATAGTGGTCCTTTAAAATGACTTCTGAAACAGACTTCCCACTTGAGATATTTCAGTGTGTTAATAATGTGTGATACCGTAATCATGCTATTTTGTCTAAATTGGTTTCTTTTTAATTTAAATACAAATAGTTTCTTTCTTGCTTAGGCGAACTTCTAAATTTGCATTCACCACTCCCGTTATTTACCATTTAAATGAGATTCCTAATTATCTCCCTTTCAGCTGTTTTAGAGTAGGATAGTCTACCCAGGAATGGGCATCTATGGTAACAGGCCATGTTTGTTATACATCCACACATTGTTAGAAGATCCTAACCATAAACCAAAGCCTTTGGATGCAAGATTAAAGGATCACTATAGTGTCAGGAAAACAAATCAGTTTTCCTGACACTATTGTGCCCTGAGGGTGCCCCCACCCTCAGGATCCCCCTCCCGTGGTGCTGAAGGGGTTAAAACCCCTTCAGTTACTCACCTTCTTCCATCACCGGGCTCCCTTACCTCTCCTCCCCCACCAACGTCAGCTTTCTGCCTGACGTCAGCGGAGCGGAATGCGCATGCGCGGCAGTGCCGCACGCGCATTCAAAGTGTCCATAGGAAAGCATTTTTCAATGCTTTCCTGTGGACACTCTGCGTTTTGGAGGCATTAAATGCGCAGATGACAGCCACTAGAGGCTGGCTTAACCCCAAATGTAAACATAGCAGTTTCTCTGAACCCTAGAGGGACCTGGCACCCAGACCACTTCATTGAGCTATAGTGTCCCTTTAAAAATCATTAGCTCCTTTATGACCAACAGTATTTTTAAAAATATATTTCAAGCACTTTTGTTATGTTTATGACGTCTACTAATGCACTCCTTCATATTTGTTGAACCCGCACCAATGTTCCATCTGTCTTACCAGCAAAACTAGGTTTATTCCTTTTATAATCCATGTTTTATATTAATTTATTTTAAATGGAGAAAAGAAAAAGTGTTTGAAATATTTCTATTCTTTGCACTTTTAAAACCATTTTTGGGTGGGATTTGCACATTAGTTTACATATTAACCCCTTAAGGACCAAACTTCTGGAATAAAAGGGAATCATGACATGTCACACACATCATGTGTCCTTAAGGGGTTAAAGGGACACTGAAGGCACTGTAACTGTTTCATCTCATTGAAAGGGTTATAATATCTTGAGTCCCCTGGCGCTATGCTTCCATTCAGTGTTTAAAGGAACACTCCAGGCACCAAAACAACTGAAAGGTAAACAAGTAAAATTCCTGGAAAACAAAGTGGCCTCCCCCCCCCCCTCAATTGTGCAGAAGGGGTTCAAAACCCATTTTGTCACATGATTCCAGCGCCAGTGTCTCTCATCGCTGTTTTAGGCTATGCCTTTGTTTCTCCTCTGCTGGCATAAGCCGGTGGGGGAGACCAAATGCGCATGCGTGGCTGTGGCCAGATTGCAGAAGGCTTTTCCAAAAGAAAAGCATTGTATAATACTTTCCTATGGGTTTTTTGGTTAGGTTGGATGTCCTCATGCACAGTGAGGAAGTCCAGCATCAGGCGACCAAAAGTTTCCTAATGACCCGGAAGCCCATCTATTGGGTGGAGTTAACCCTTGCAGTTTATTAAAAACTGCAATAATTACCTTTTTTTTTGTCAACTCCTCCAGGGAAACTAGGGCTCTCTTCCTGAGCTAAGCCTAGCAGTGCATGGCTTACTTCATTGGCTGAGAGCATTTAGCTCACGCACTTAGCCAATCAGCTGGCCTTTCACTGTAGGGGTTAACTCAGGGGAGCTAACAGAAGATGCATGGCAAATATAAATTCCACTGTTAGAACATACATGAACTTTTTTTCAGTTTCAGATTTGGCATGATTGTCTTGAATTAAGGAACATATCTCAACATCTGGGGATATGTGATTTTTTTTTCCAAATAGCATATCCATCCACAGTGTTGCTAATAATGTGTAAACACCCCTCCAGTCCTGGAGGAGTTAACTGAATTGTGTAAAGGAACACTTCCACCCAAATTATAGCTTCAGCTCTTTGAAGTTGTTATGTATCAGGGCCCAGTCTTTGGTTGAAACGGTTTCCCCATGGTTTAACCCATTGGTCCCTTGGGGCTGGGAGTGTAACTCTAACCAGTGGTGTGCTAGAATTGCTGTGTGTCTTCTTAGGATATCGTTGGCTGTTCCTTGCATGCCATATTGTGGGGGGAGTGAAAGTTTAAAAAACAAAACATGAAATGTTAGCAATATTAAGGCCATTAAATTTATTTTATTTATAAAAAAAATCTTACCAGGAAGGATATACTGAGATTTGTTTTCAAGTATGTCCTGAGTGCACAAACATTGCCTCGTTAATCTAGGGTTCAAAAAAATAGTAAAAATAATATTAATACACAACACGTATACAAAATTTAACATAGAACAGGTAAGAAATATACAATCAGCCATGACAGTTGCTTTCTGTTTTGAGATAAGTAGAGAGGGTTAGTCTAAATCTGCTTATAGAAAGGTTGTATTATTTGGAAACTTGATGTGTCTAGAACTCCATTCTCCTATGTGAAAAGCAGCAAAGGAATGTCAAAAATGTTTAGTTAAACTATTTTCCCACACAGGAAACAAACCTGTTCAGATCTTATTTGTGATATAAATGGTATAATGTCTCTCTCACTAGAAACCTGAAGAGATACATGGGGTTTATACAGTAAGCAGTTTTGGGTCAAAGGTATAAAAGCTAAATAACCATTTTTGTAAATGTAGATTAAATTGTGTGATGGATTTCTTGGGTAATGAACGGGCTATGGATCTTGTGAGTGCATGTAAGTGGGTTATATGTCATAGGTATGTGTAATTAATGAGCTTCACAAGGCACGTCTGCACCATGTGCGTGAGAGATGACTTGTGTTTGATGTGGATGCCATGGGTGATGTAGGTCATATGAAGGTATTTTGGTTGGCTTATGGATTTTCTTGTTGCACATAATGTAGTGCCTGAACCTAGAACTTTAGGAAGAAGCTGCTGTTGCTTGTCCAATATTAACATTAATTCAGTTATCATATCAAATATTTGTAGAAGACAAAAGTAAAATGAAGCTAAAATACAAGTTGCTTCTGAATGAAAGCACATACTGTACCTCTTACAAAGTTATATGTTTAGTTTTACCGCTAGAATAGTTTAACCCAACATTTTTAACATTCCTTCTCTCCTTTTCAGTGGTTTGTGAAAGGATGTTCTTTCGACATGCATATTTTATTTTTTATTTAAAGATGATCGGCCTCATTCAGAGCATTAGAGAATTGCTGGTCAGGGCAAACATTATGTAAGTTTTATTTAGCATTTCCATATGAGCTATAACAGGACCTAGAAGTGCTTTTTTCTAGCAATTTCCTATAAGACATTTGGTTCAAAATCCAACAGGAAGTCTAAGGAAGCACAGATAATGTTTTACACATCACACACAGCTGCAAGTATCTCCCAGGGCAGCCTGGCATCTTACATTTGATTTGCTGACTCTCCTATCTACATTTAGTGGTAGAGCTAGTTTAATACGTAGTATACAGGGTTCATCTTCCTCTAGATGGCTGCAGTATCTTTCTTTCAGTGTTTTTATCTATATGTATATTGGTTAATATAGTGTATTATTTATGGTAATTGTTAAGACACTCCCGGCATAAAGGAGTGAACTCGCCGTTTAGTAGAGCTTCCCCTTTGCAGAGATACAGGCACGACTACTTTAGAGCCCAAACTCCCGAACTGGAACCAGGGGAATGCGCCTATCTCCCGAACAGCATACTTTGTAACACTTCAAACTCCCGAACAGTAATCCCACGAATCGCTGCTAACAGACGAACCGATATAGCATCCAAGCGGCTTACGTTCCCAGCAATCAGTCTCTAGCCGCATATAGTAAATCCCCCCCCCAATCACGAGACTAAGCTCCGTATTGAGGGTAAAACAAGATCTGCTTTAATGAGGGCTACCTGCCCGTATTTATGCAGGTCTCCCACTTGGTGGACACTCCCCTAGGGGACCAAATGGGAGACTGTAACAAAGGACAGACAGGTAAGGACATACAGTCACAATACATTCCCTTAATGCATCCTGGCTTCCTCCTCTCTGCCCTTGAGATAATTGAGAAGTAATTCAATTATCTCCCAGGACAAAGACAAATCGCCATTATGCACGTGGGGACAACAGGATAGACATTACTGTTAAAACTGTTACAATAAATATAGACATGTAACATACCCACAGATAGCTCAGGTCTGAGTGTACATTATTAGGTGAATGGCGTTCAGACCACACGGATACAGTGTAATCGCCATGGAGCCAAAAGTCTTTAATTTCACGAACAGGCTCCATGGCATAGCTATCTGGGTACTTTCACATAAAATACACTATAAAACACAAAGTCCCGAATGCTCCACCGTTCGGTTCACGAACAGAGCTGAAGACCTGTAGGCTGGTAGCTCAGCGGTGCTTGAAAGGAAAAGTGTCCGCTTTTGGTGTACTGAGGCTGGGCAGAACAACGTTGGCTGCCCGGGGAGCTCCATAACACCGCCATCGTGTGGCGGCTAGGTGTAACCGCGACCACCCAATTGCCGGCACACGCTAGCTTCAAGGAGGTAGATTGAAGGCACACTCCAGCTTCCCAGTGGTCGCGTAATCGGTAGTCATTCGGGAAACAAAGGGGCTGTACGGGTAAAGAAATAATCGAACAAACAGACGAATGGAGGGAGGAGAAACATAATCCAAAGACAGACGGTTCTGTCACAGTAATATTTCCTGTCACACTGCACATTAAACGTACAAGTCAGTGTTAATTTTTATCGACTAACAATTTTAGTCAAATTTTAGTCGACTAAAACTAGACTAAACCTAAAACAATTCAGATGACATAAATACGACTAATATAAAAATGGCTTTTTAGTCAAAAGACTATGACTAAAACTAAACAGAAATTTCCTGCCAAAATGAACACTGCACAGAGGGGTTATGGAAGGGGCAAACAGTGCTTGGGGAAAAAGACACCTAGAGGGGCTGGGGAGACACAGAAGGGCCAGGGAAGGGGCAAAAGAGACAGAGGCTTTATCTAAACCCATTAGATTGTAGTCGTGTCGAAAAAAAATCTACTAGAGATTTAGTCGACTAAAATATGACTAAAACTAAAAGGGCTTTTTAGTCAAAAGACTGACTAAAACTAAATTGAAATCTGCTGCCAAAATTAACACGGATACAAGTAATCGCGACAAAACACGTTTGATGTATAGTACAAGAAGCTATGAGGGCCCTTCTCAAACAAAATTACAGTCTAAAGTAATTCTTAAAATAACTTTTAGTTTCTCTTAGCACATAAAACAGTGGAGAAAAGTGTACATTTTTGGGTCATGTGCTGTTTTCTTCAGCATCCAGTTGTGTCTACTTGAAACTGAAACCAGACGGATTCTAGTCTGCAGTAGTCTGTTTTCCCTTGCAGTAAAATATCTTGGTTTTCTGTTAAAAAAAATAAAAATAAAAATAGGGGAAAGACATTGCTTGAGTGGATTGGTTTCCTTGGAATGTTTATTTTATAAATCAAACACATTCTTTGCATCTAATGCCTTTCATGATGTATCAGATGTTTTCCAGGTTAATTAACCAATAACTTGCTTTACTAGAGACTCTGAAGTCTGTCTGTGATTTATGGTGCCTTGTTTTTGTGATTGTATCTGTTTTGTAATGAATCCTCTTTCTTTATTGTTCAATGTTATCTCTTTTCATTGTGGGTGTAGTAAACTGTCTCGATCAAGTAGGGACACTCAAAGATACACATTTCTAATGCATTCAAAATATATTTTTTCATCAGTGAAAAGGTGATTTAACTCGCCTGTTCTCCCATGCCATGCCTGTCTCACTGTGGCTGGCGCCACCTCCTTGGTTGTCATCATCAACCTTGATGATCTCAACCAATCCAATGCTTTCTTATAGGAAAGCATTGGGAGGCTATTGCGCAAGCGTAACAAAAACGCCATGCTGCGCCAATAAGCATCACCTCATAGAGGTGTGTTGAATCAGTGCATCTCTATTGGAACATTCAGCGTCTCCATGCAGACTTTATCTGCATTTTTCATTCATTAAAGGCCTGCTGCTGAGTGCTGCCTACACAAATTACTTTTTATAATGTGCAATATTCTTATTTTTATTTATTTTTTGCACAATGTGCCATTGATTTGCTGAGAGTAGTCAGCTGGCATTCTCAGGCTAAGAATGGCCCCTTGATCAGATTCCTACTTTTTGCAGCTCTTCAGACGTTGGAAGCATGTCACTCAGAAAGGGTGAGAGCCTATATACTTTGCTCCATTACTGGGAAACCAGGCAGGATCATAACCACTATAGCAGGCTGTACAAATGCTCCTAAATATGATTCCAAACCACTACACAACTTTTGGATCTGTAACTTAAAGGATCACTATAGTGTCAGGAAAACAAAGCGGTTTTCCTGACACTATAGTGCCCTGAGGGTGCCCCCACCCTCAGGGTCCCCCTCCCGTGGCGCTGAAGGGGTTAAAACCCCTTCAGTTACTTACTTTAATCCAGCGCCGGGCTCCCTCAGCGCTGGTGACCTCTCCTCCCCGTCCGACGTCAGCCCCTCCGTCCGACGTCACTGTAGCCGAATGCGCATGCGCGTCAAGTACCGCGCGCACATTTAAAATGTCCATAGGAAAGCATTTCTCAATGCTTTCCTATGGACGCTCTGTGTGATGGAGGCAAAATCTGCCTCCAGCATCGCAGATGCGCCTCTAGTGGCTGTCTGGAAGACGGCCACTAGAGGCTGGATTAACCCCAAATGAAAACATAGCAGTTTCTTCATTGAGCTGAAGTGGTCTGGGTGACTATAGTGTCCCTTTAAAGTGTATCACAGCTTTTAAACCCTTAGTGACACTTACTAATAAAGAGAAATCTGAAATGAAAACATGATGCTGGAATTTGATCAAAATGTTGAAATTACCAAGCAGCTCCCATCTTTCCATTTGTGCAGGGGGAAATGGTTATTTCAGCTCTGTTGATGTCTTATGTCCAGAGTGCCCAAGGTTAGCTGGAAATCTTTGATATTTTCGTTTTTTTAATAAAAAGAAAAAGACCCGCGAATTGGAATTATACATAATCATTACAAAGTATAGACAATATTTGCAATGCTCCACGATGATTAACAGACTGTTTTGGTGACCTAATCTCTTTATATATAAAAAGGGAGTGATTGTATAAAAAATAGATCAAACCATAACTAAATAGAATCCGTATTCTAGCTCGTATTAATTGAACTAGCTACTTCATTGGATTAAATGTACACTTCTTCTCTTTGCATAATCCATTCCATCATTGCTTCTCTATTCATTATAGGATTGGGCACAAACTTGAAATATCTCTGATAGTGTAGCTGAATTCTTAACGTGCCAATGACATACAAGCTTGTTAATAGATTTGAGTGTCCTTTTTAGGAATTGGGGTGGAGTCCGACCCCCCTTCCCCCTACCCAGTGTGTGGAGGGACAAAGTGCCTATACTAGTATTTCCAGTGGTAGAAACTCGTATTGCTGCTGCTTTGATATATTCTGAACTTCAGAAGTTAGCTGATAAAGTGTTAGCTTGGCATAGCATATGTCAGACTAGAGTTTAAGCACAACACAAAGTTTCCCGTCATGTTTCAGGAAACCAAACCCTGTTCTCTCCTTTGTTTACAGCACCTAATTAAAATTAGCAGCTGACTTTTTCTAAAAGGAAACACATTACGATATATTATAGCAAATTCTTTTTCAAAATAGTTTTTACGCTACGGTCTGGCAAATTACAGCAGTCTGGGACTTATAACTCCTACATAATGCTTCTAGCTTTCCCAAATACAGCAGAACCGTTCCTAATTCATTGTTATGTCTCTGGTTTGTTCCCTGTTGCCCTGCATCTGGGAATGTCTGTGAAATTACCCTATCTGTGCAGTGTTTGTGCATCATTAGACACATCATCACTTTTTTTGTAATCATGTGTAAAGGGACATTATAGGCAGTGATGTATTTTGGATTGGTGCTGCCCTAGGCATGGCGGAACTCGGACACCCCCTAATTTAAATGTACCCGCCCCTTCCTGCCAAGGCTACACCTCCTTCTGTTAACTAACACACATTTTGACTGACAGACACACACTGACACAAACTTACAGACAAGCACACACTCTGATACACTGACAGACACACACACTCACTAATTTTACACAATCTGACACATGCAATCATTCAGACACACACTGACAGACATGCACACTCACTAACAGACACGCACTCTCACTGACATACACACATACTGACACACTCACTCACAGGCACACTGACAGATACGCACACACACATTCATTGACACACACACTCACTGACAGACACACACACATTCACTGGCAAACAAACGCACGCACACACACACACAGTTTCCCCCCAAAACTCACAATTACAATTTTTTTGTTTTTTATTTAAATCCTCCCAGCCTCCCTAATTTTGGGAGAGCTGGGTGGATTATTTACCTGGGGTCCAGTGGGGCTGCTGGGTGTGCAGGCATGCGGGTAGGCAGGAAGGCAGGTAAGAGTCCAAAGTAGGCAGCGAGGGAGCTGTGATTTTCCTGCTCATTTCCTTTGCGTGCTGCTTAGTGATGCCGGGAGCCGGACTGACGTCATATTACGGCTCCCGGCATTACTACAGGTCGCACTAGGGAGCTGATCAAGAAATCACAGATCAGTGTTCCCTCACTGCCTGCCCAGAACACAAATGGCTGCCTGCCCCGGGGGAGGGGGCGGGCAAAGGTGGCCAGCCGGCCAGCTCTTGGGCCCTCATACAACAATGCTAACAAGGCATTAGCTTGGGCATTTGGGAGCTGCGTTTTTTGCCGCCCCCTGGAAAGTGCCGCCCAAGGCAAATGCCTTGTTAGCCTCGCGGTACATACAGACCACTTCAGCTAATCTGGGTACAGTGTCCCTATTGAACTTAGTGCTGCAATAAAACATTGCAGTTCCAGAGAAACTGCAATGTTTACATTGCAGCACTAAGTCTGCCTCGAGTGGCTGTCTGGGAGGCTCTTTCTGGCTGCTAACAGACTTTTGGTCCGTTAACTGATGCTGGATGTCCTCACGCTCTGCATGGACACCCAGTATCCGCTATTTCTCCATAGCAAATCATTGATTCAGTGCTTTCCTATGGGGAAGTCTAATGTGTGTGCGGCACTTGCCACGCATGCACATTAGTGCCCACTCGTCGCTGGATGTCGGAGGAACTGGAGCCTTGACCCAGCACTGGGACCAGGAAGGTAGCTATAGTGAGGCAGAGGTAGCTATAGTGCTAGGAATACAGCTTTGTATTCCTAGCACTATAGTATCCCTTTTAATGTACGGTTTTTCATGTTGTATAACATTATGGCATTTTTTAGTTTTGTCAATATTGCATTTCAGATTTTGTTTCTGATCTAAATAATCAGCCAATTGTTTTCTGTTTATGGAAAAATAAAAGTGATAAAAGGGGAAAAAACTTTCAGTAGATTAATAAACCCTATATTTTAATGAGACGGTATATGCAACACTGCAACCCATGTTCTTTGCATAGATTTGCATGGACGAGGCATTGCCTCCCCAATAATCTAATCCCTCAAAGACCATTGGGGACCAAATGAGCGTGCGTCCAGTAAGACGCTAGGAAAAGACACTAAGAAAGTACTGCCAAGTTCTGAACTACTTCTAGCATAAGCACTTATCTTTTAAAATATTTATTTTGCATCTGTGTTTTAATTCTTTATCAAGAGTCAAAATATAACATGATAGAAACTGGATTAGGGTTGATACAAAATCACATACGTTTCGTTAGAAGAACTGAAATCTAATACAATACAGAAACATAGTTACATGTTAACAGTCATAGATATAAAGAAAATTAGAACAAGGTCAGCCTTAGCACCATAAACACTGTATTATTGCAAAATGCTTTTTGCTTAGAGCACATTGAGCCTGCTCTAATGCCTGAGATTAGACTCCCAACCATCGCTGTCAATTCAACATCTTTGAGAATTTAATTTCCAGTTTGCCAGTGTCCGATTTGTCCCTTGCACAACGTATACAACATATGCACAATCGGGAAGGCTCTCTCTCCTCCTCAGAGGGAGAGCTGGACCATGGAATGCACGCTCTAAAACACTTCTCTTTTTCTCTAAATAGTGAACTGAGCTGTGGATAAATGCGTAATGGCTGCTATTAGTTTGAGTAGTTCCAATCATCCAGTGCAATGACTGGAACTGCTCTTTGATGAATAAATGACTTATCCCACAATCCCCTCTGAACTTCTTTTTTTTTTTTCTTTTTAACTTTCTTGACAATATGTGTCTGTCTATCTATCTGTGTGTTTCAAGTATACAATCTCTTGTAAAAAAAAAAAAAAAAGAAATTTAAAAAAAGGGGGGGGGGGGATATTTTGCAGAATTAAGTGCCCATCTCCTGTTTCAGCTGATTTGATGCTGTTGGTATATTGGGAGCATGCTTGGTCTAAGGAAATGTAATATAAGCTTGCAATGTGACATTTGGATGGCCATAAGGTTGCTTTCCTGACCTGCCTGGTTTTATTTCTTCAACTGTGTTATTAGAAGGCAGTGGAGGATAGATCTTGTTAGCCTCGCGGTACATACAGTCCTGACTATAGGCACCCAGACCACTTCAGCTCATCTGGGTACAGTGTCCATATTGAACTTAGTGCCACAATAAAACATTGCAGTTCCAGAGAAACTGCAATGTTTACATTGCAGCACTAAGTCTGCCTCCAGTGGCTGTCTGGGAGGCTCTTTCTGGCTGCCAACAGACTTTTGGTACGGTAACTGATGCTGGATGAGTTCCCCTCACTTTAGAACATAAGGGCCCTGAAAGGATTTCCATTTTATTTAATCTTTCAATAAGCCACATTTACCGTTTAATTGATTTAGGACTTTTGAGGGGGGAAAAATTGTATCAAAGTTTGCAACAATCTCTAAAGACCATAATCACTATAGCCTTCCTAAGCCCCAGGATATCCACAGCCTTTTTTTTGCAGAAATAAAATAACATTGGACACTTGGGGTACCCAAGTAATTGTCAAACCGTTTTGACAATCGTTTGACTCTTACCTGGGACATCAGTGGACTCGTGACACCATAATGATTACAGTGCTCTATAGTGGTTATGGTGCTTAGACTGATGCTGAATGCAGAATTAGAAGGCAATAGAAAAGTATGTATCAGGAGGAAAAAAGTGGTGTGTTTTGTGGTTTTTAGTATTTTTTTATTTTATTGTAAGTTGCCTTTTTCACCTTGCTTCTTTGCTTTGATATGTTGTATAGGATTTTAGGACAAAATAGTCCATTTATAAACTTTTTCCAATGCCGCCATTTTTCATGCTTGGCTATGCTGGTGTAAAACACATAGTTCTGGCAGTGCTCTGCATTCTGATTTGTAGTATAAGTATGGATTATAATGAGTTGAAAAACTGAACTGCAAAAGAAGGGAATTTGAAAAATTCTTCAATTTTCTCAACAGCTTGGCTATTTAAAACTAAATTTCAAAATTTGTTTTTCAGATATTGTTTAATAATAAATAAACACTTCACAAAAAATTGTGATTAACATTATTGTGTACCTTTGGGCAATAATAAACAAAAACAGATATTTAATTCTTCCAGGAACTTTCTTCTTAACAATGATACAGTAATATAACACTAATTATTAAAAAAATATATAGCTTCCACCGGTGCTGTTTAAATGCAGTTATCAGAAGACAGAGCATTCCTTAAAAGTTAAAGGAACACTATAGTATTAGGCATAGCCCCCCTCCCCCTCCCAGGGCAGTCAAGCTTTTTAAAAACTGCACACTGCCTCCACCTCCTCAGACGCTATCTTGAGGGGGAACCTAATGTGCATGGGCAGCGAGCACCACATATGCATTAGGCCTTTTCCATAAGAAATAAATGAATCAACTATTTCCTATGGGGTTTTGCAAGATGCTGGACATCATGCAAAGCGTGCGGATGTTCAGTGGAGCCAACCTTCTCAAAAAATGCAATGTTTTCAGCTGCAGGGTTAAGGGGCCAGGGACACTGCACCCAGACCAATTTAATGAGCTGCAGTGGTGTAGTTGCCTATAGTGTACCTTTAAAACTCAGTTGCTGAAATTTGTAGAAAAATTCATCTGGACTCCCTTAAATTTATGAAGTAACTGCTTTTAAAATAATTTACGGTATACATTTACTTGGGACATGTACAGTTTTATAACAGTTTGACTTCTTACCTGGGGTACCTTGGGCACCACACCTCTCCCCACCTCTTCTGTTCTGTCAGTTGGAAATTCTCTGCCTGAGCTAAGCCCAGCAATGCAAGGCTTAGTTCACCGGCTGGGAGTGACCAGCTGACGTTATCAGCTAATGAGCTGATCTACACACCAAAGTTTAGCTCAGTAGAGCTAATGGAAACTCCCAGCAGAAGGTAAAGGCTCTCAGACCGGATGGGAAGTAGAGAGCAGAGCCCTGCAGAATCCAGGTTAGAAGTCAGACTGTTCTAAAACGTTTTGACTAGTTACATTGGGGAGACACCATATGGTTCTAGTGCTTGGAGATTTCCTTTCTGTTTTATTTTGAAGGGGTTGTAGAATAGATTTTGTGCAAATCTTTTATTTATTTTTTCTGCTACAGATTTCTGCAGCAAATAATTCTGCATTGCATTTCACAATCATCCGGCCGAGAACGTGTTAATAGGCGTTTCAAGGGTTTGTTATGAGAAATCTGTAACGTGGATGACCTCTGTGGCATTTTCGGAATAGCTTTCAGTTGTCTGGCACTTGCCCAGCTGATGACTATCACAGATGTCATCTGCTCAGTAGATGGTGATATCCAGAGGAAGCTAAGAGCAGCATTAAGTTGTGTAATTAGCAGCTACTTTGTAATGGCTTCATATGCTGCTCACGAGAATGCTGAGGTCATGCATATTTGGTGTGTCCTAACAAAGCATCTCATCTGGAGGACTTTCAAAGACTCCTTTCCATGTACTTGTGGAAATAAAAAAATGCAAATTGTTTACATGGATAATCAAGAAAGAATGTTATTACACGCCTCTAGTTTGTAAAATGTAAGTTTCTGGAAACTATATCAAATTCAAGAATGGCTACACCATAAGTTCTTCAAGCACTGTTACAACCAATGCTCATTGCTTGTGTTATTTGCGATGTAGGTTCTATTATCCCCATGTTATATGGTGTTTGTAGGTACCTTGTCTTACGTAGAAAGTTGGCTATATTTTTTTTTATCACACTAGATTTGTTTTGTTTTTAATTGACATGCTGTGCCAATAAAAAGCATGTGAATTATTTTAACCATCCACTGTTTTAAATAACACACAGAGCGCATGCACTTGTATGGCATTTGTCCATAGATGGTGAAATGCACATGAGCGCACTGAGGCATCCTGGGATGATTTTGTTTCCCACAACACGCAACTGCAATTTTAAGTTATTGCAACTATAAGCCTGCCCTTTATCCCTCTGATTATTGCAAGAAGGAAGTGCAGATTTCTCCACAAACATCAAAGTCTCCCCCTGTGTTGCCCTGCTTTCTTTGAAAACATTATCATTGACAACTGATGTGCACAGGTCTACTTAAAAAAACTGTGAATTGGGTTATCAGTAGTCTCATGATGGCTGCATTGTGTTTACTATCCACAAACTCACCATATCCACTCATCTTATTAAATGATTTGTGCTACCTCATGCCATATCTCCCAACATCTGGGTGGGGATGGTCCCTGGCAAATTGTGTCATTGGCTATATTGGGGGCAGGTACATCCGCTGAAAGAGATTGACAGCCTGACTTCAAACACACCAGCCTGACTGACGGTCTCTCTAGCTTGCCCCCAGCATTTAAGACCATGCAGGTAGCGCTTCTGAAGCACTCTCTGCATGGTCCTAGTGCCCGCTGCAGAGTGCGAGCACATCTAATGATGCACTTGAGCTGTGTTGGTTGAGCACAGTACATGTGGGAAACACAATCGGTATGATGGAAGGCCAATCTTACATTCAATCATGCTGTATAATTCATAGACATGAAGTCAAGATTTTAGCTGAGATTACAGTCCTATTCTTGTGTGAAAAAGACTGCAGAGGATGCTGATGGGATCTGCACTGCCAAGTGTAACAAAGCTGATTCCTTACCCATAATCTACTCAAATCTGTTCCATAAGTAAAACACATTGGATCTATTAAAGAATACCTTTATTAAAGTGCCTTTTTGTGGGGTACTTAATTTTGGAGAATCTCATGGTTACTCTTGTACTGGATAGCAGGTAATTTTATTAAGATATAGTTTCTGCTAGCACAACAATATATTAATTTATTTGCACAGTAAATCAGGGACTGCTTGATAGTACCTTGGAAAAAACTGCAAGATGTCCTCTAATATTGGCTTGAGATGGCTGAGCTCAATCATAAGTAAGGTTAAAGGAACACTTTTGGGTTAGGAACACAGACATATTTTCCTGACCCTATTATGTTAAAATCTATCTAGCACCCTGGCCGCCCTTGCCCTAAATATAATAAAATCTTACCTTATTTCCAGGTGCTGGCTCTGCCCGAACCACCTTCTTGGCAGACATCATCAGATATGATGATCTCAGCCAATCACAATGCTTTCCCGTAGGACAGAGCTGGATTGGTTGATATTGTCATTGAGGCGGACGGAGCCAAGTGCCGCCCATACCAATCCTCATCTCCTCATAGAGATGCACTGAATCAATGCATCTCTATGATGAAAGTTTAGTGGCTCCATGCAGAGTGTGGAGACTTGCCTCCCTCTTTATACTTGTCTCTTCACTACTGTGCACTACAGTAATCTTTTCATTAGCGTTTATTTGAAAGTAATAAAAGGAATGTCTTGATCAGAAAATTGACAGTTCCTCTTTAAATAAGAAACGCTAAATCGGTATAAAATGTAAAAGTAAATGAGAAATAAGTTCATGTGTGATGCATTTGTTTTTTTTGTGTCAGGATAACCCACCACGTCCCAGACCTATTGTATTAAAAGACGAGCTTGTTTTCTATTTGTTGAGACAAAAAAATCATGAAATGTGTTATCTACTGATTAGGAAGAGACCGTGTAACTAATAAAATAGGTCCATGTTGTGTTTTGTATCCCAGTTATGAAAAAGAAAACTACACAAGCCAGGGTTATTTACCAAAGTGAGAGTTATGGGGAATTCATTGTAAATGTGAAATTTAAAGGACCACTCTAGGCACCCAGACCAGTTCAGCTTAATTAAGTGGTCTGGGTGCCAGGTCCAGCTAGGGTTAACCCATTTTTTTATAAACATAGCAGTTTCAGAGAAACTGCTATGTTTATTAATGGGTTAAGCCTTCCCCTATTTCCTCTAGTGGCTGTCTCATTGACAGCCGCTAGAGGCGCTTGCGTGCTTCTCACTGTGAAAATCACAGTGAGAGCACGCCAGCGTCCATAGGAAAGCTGAATGGCTGAATGCGCGCGCAGCTCTTGCCACGCGTGCGCATTCAGCCGACGGGGAGGAGAGAAGGAGGATCAGAGGAGGAGAGCTCCCCGCCCAGCCCTGGAAAAGGGTAAGTTTTCCCCCTTCCAGAGCCGGGCGGGAGGGGGTCCCTGAGGGTGGGGGCACCCTCAGGGCACTATAGTGCCAGGAAAACGAGTATGTTTTCCTGGCACTATAGTGGTCCTTTAAGGACAAAGTATCCAAACTGGAAAAATTCTCCCATGTCAGTTGTGTTTGCAGTTCAGCTGTTTTGTCCTTAAAGGAATACTATAGTATCAGGCATACAAACATGTTTTCCTGAAAGTGCTGGAATGTCTCATTAGGCCCTAGCTACCCTCTCTCTGGACACTTAAAGTTGCCACGTTAATGTAGTGGTTCTGGTGTTTATAGCATTTCCCTGCAGCCTTAGCACTGTTGACACTGCCTTTTCAGAGAAACTGCAGTGTTTACATTGCTGCCTAGTAACACTTCTTGTGGCAGTCACTCAAACGACCACTAGAGGTGCTTCTTTTGTTCAGTGTCTCAACGCTATGTATGGAGGTGTTGAACCTTCATTATACAGATTAACTTATTCAATGCATTTCTATGGGGAGACACTGATTGGTGGTGCGTGGCGATTTGCTGCGTGTGTGCACATAGTCTCCAAATGCTTCCCATGGGAAAGGATTGAATTGGCTGAGAGTCTCAAAATTTAGATTCTCAGCCATGAAGGCAGACTCAGACGTGAGAACAGCACAGTGTGGAAAAAAAAAGGTGAGTAAAATTACCTTTAAAAGGAGATTTTTAACATGAACTTGTTTCTAAAAAGGAGCAACATTATATTTCGAAATGTAAAGTTATAGTACATCAGTTTTCACGTGAATCATGGTACGAACAGCTGACAATACATAAGTAAAGCATACAGAATTCCAGTCAATACACTGATAATATTATTTTACAGTGTCTGTAAACAGCATTTACATTGTATCTATATATTTTATATGTACAATAATTTTGTTATATTTTTAATGCACTAGTTAGAAAATGTTTTGTTTATTTTGTTTTTATTCAAATTTTCCATAAATGATGATAGTGCTTAAAAGACAATAGCATTGAGTGAAACATAAAGATATCAAGTTTACAGAGTTTCTCATTGGTACAATTATATATTGTTTTCTGGATGACAGATAACATGGATAGGTACAATTACTTGTTAGAAAATTTGTATTAAGAGTTTTATTAATTTTTCTATTTTTATATTTCTTCTTCAAATATTTAAGTGTAATTTTAAATGACCACTATAGTGCCAGGAAAACAAACTCGTTTTCCTGGCACTATATAGTCCTTAGGTTCCCCCCACCCTCAGGGTTAAAACCCCTTCAACCACTTACCTTAATCCAGCGGCAGGCTCCCTCGGCACTAGTGACCTCTCCTCCCCCTCCAACGTCTGCTTCCGAGTGGAGCCGAATGCGCATGCGCATTCAAACCTTCCATAGGAAAGCTTTACTTAATGCTTTCCTATGGACGTTCTGGGTGCTTAATGCGATTTTTGCATTGAGTGTCGTGGAAGTACCTCTAGCGGCTGTCAGGAAGAGGTTTCTCTGAAACTGCTATGTTTACAGCTGCAGGGTTAAAACCTTGGGGACCTAGCACCCAGACCACTTCATTGAGCTGAAGTGGTCTGGGTGAATATTATGGTCCTTTAAGTACCTATCTATTTAGACACTATTTCTTTGCAAGCCTGATTTTAGGTCAATATAATGCACTGGTCGCTATGGGGTTCACACTCAGCTGCAGCCTGTACCCTAAGAGCTATTCAAATTTCTATCTTCCACACATTTTAGGCACAACAAGGATTAAAGGAACACTATAGCGTTAGGTATAAAAACTTGTATTCCTAAAGCTGTATTGCCACCGTCCCTAGTTATATACAGATCCACACTCCGTGTGTAATAAAAAATTTAAAAAAGTAAAAGTTTTAGTTCACTTTCCAATGCCAAGGTGCTGCTTACTTCTCCGCCCCCAGTGACGTCATTGAGGAGGTATGGCTTCCTCTGTGACAATCCAATACACTGCTTCTTATAGAAGGGCATTAGGGACCTGATTTGCATGGAATTCTATTTATTGCTTTTTGTAGGGGGGGTTTCTCAATTGCCTTGCTTTTGCTGAGAATGGTTTCCCCATTTTTGGACATAGTTGCATCGCCATATGGTTAGTGAAGTACATTTTTGACTTTGGTTTAAAAAAAAATAATAATAATACTAATATTAAAGTGACTTCTAGGTTTATTTTGTTGTTCAGGTACTTGTGGATGACCTTTGTATGAAATCTCAATATAATCTAAAAATGCTTTGGCAAATTCTTGTTCTGGTGTTCCAGTGGGAAATTATGATCTCCTGCAAATGCTCAAACCACTGTCTGCCTTTGATCCTCAAGATCTTGTGTAACCCTTTCAGTGCCATAACAAAGAGAAATGTAATTTTATGTATAACTTTTTTTTTTTTTTTTTTAAAGCACAAAAAGGAGATCCCTCCAGCAACGTTAGAATACCTAGTGATTGACTCTTTTGTACTTAACAGTTTGTTGTTTATCTTTTGTTTTGTTCAGTTTTTTCTGGTGTGGCCATTGAGCTATGTTTTTCCGTCAAAGTCAGCAAGAACTTGGTGGTACATTCAGCTGTTATCACATGCAGTGTGGGCATACTTCCGTAGAACTTGTAACGTAATTCACAGCTTGACCCCAAAGATTAGCAAAGCTTAGCTCGGATTTTTCTTTCTTATCCCCAAACTCCTATCGCCTTACCAGGAGCTTCTTTGTAGGAAATGTGACTGTGGCTTGATTTTTAATGCACTAGTAGAAAATGAAGTTTAAAGTTAGTTTTATTATTCGTATTTTAATTTCAAATATGTATTTTTAAATTAGTTTTGATCAAATTGTGCTCTACAATTCTGCAACCTATTATAAATACTAGCAATACCATTTCACTTGCTGCTATGTAATGAAAATATAGAGGCTTCTTATTTTTTTATATTTAAATACCATTTATTATTATTATTATTATTATTATTATTATTATTGTTTTATTATTTATATAGCGCCATCAGATTCCGTAGCGCTGTACAATGGGTGGACTAACAGACATGTAATTGTAAACAGACAACTGGACGTACAGGAACAGAGAGGTGGAGGGCCCTGCTCAATGATGTTATGTCTGTATATATCTTGTTACTAAACAAAGCAGGACATGACAAAACAAAAAGATATTGAATGAATAAACATATTGTAACAAAAGTAAGTGTATACAGGAAAATTTCAATATAATAAACAACAGATGAATAAGGAATACATATTTAAATAATTTAAATATCCAGTGACCGTTTAGGTGAATATCTGCATAATGTTATAGCATTAAAGTAGAGTAGGAATCCAAAGACTGTGACAAAGTAGTTTAAAGGAACACTCCAAGTACCATAACTACTGCAACATTTTGTTATGGTTATGTTGACCTGAGTGCCACTTCCTGCCTCCTCACAGCAGACAGAAGAGCTGTAAGTTACTGCTAAGTTTCACAGGGCAGTAATTGATATCAGCCAATCAGCAATGCTCTGCACTGCCAGGCTTAACTCAGACAGAAAGCTTTCAGCTCTACTGAAGGATGTAGTGGAGGCAGGGAGCTGTGGCTGGCAGACCACAAATAAGAAGTCAAACCATTCTAAAATTGTTTGAATACTACCCTGAGGGGATGCCAGGACACTCCTGACACCATAACTACCATAACTACCATAACTACTACAGCTCGCTGTAATGCCACCAAGAAATTCTACAAATCTTCTTCACAAGCTTAGAGTCTATTTCTATAATGTAACTTTTCTGATTTTATTTTGTTTTATTCTCTTTAGATACAGACATTTCACGTAGAGGCACCATGTAAAACTGTGGAAGACTTAACGAGTGGAGTAGCGATGGCTATGGTCCTTCAAAAAATGTAAGTGACCAATATTCATGAATTGAGGTTGCATAACATTTTAAAACTTGTACATCACAAAATGTGCTGCCTCGATCTACATATATTAGTTTATATAAACTCCTGAACCCAACCAGAATTTGCAAAATTCATGCCTCCCAGTCAAGCCACTTGCATTTTAGCGGTGGTCTGTATGTGTATTGAGTGACACTGCCCTTAACTCAACCATGCACTCTGTGTTATATTTGGGACCATCTTTGATACTATTAATACACAGTGTTAGAAGGTGCCGGAATCCCAGCATAGAATAATATTGCTTTCCACAAGTTCACTCACTTTGTAATGTTGCTGAGACCTTTGCAAATGTAGCAAATTTAATTTTGGGACTATGAATATATCTTCCATATTTATCCAGTATGGTTTTACATCACATCACATTGGCTTGTACCAGAGCTTACATTTTTTTTTTTTTTAATTGAAATCATAAAAAAAAAACATCTTCACTGTCCCTTAAAATGTATCTACTCTGTTTATCTGTAAAACAGGAGTCACATGTTTTTTTTTGGGGGGGGTGGAGTCTTTGCTTTAGGTGGATGTGTGTTTCATGAGCTCTGAGCCAAATTGTCCTACTACAGCCTTTATCTTACTCTACGGAGCCATTACTTGAAATATTATTGACAATCAGCTTTGCCTATTATATCATGGCTCGTAAGACAAAGAAATCATGAATGTAGAAGTCCAGGCTGGGGTGTGATATCAGACATATATTCCACCAAGCACATGGCACCCTCAGGCCTACAACAGCCTTCAAAATGGGGGATTGCTTGGAATGCTATAAGAAGTTGCCGGGAGGAGCAGAGGATGAGCAGCATCTTTCCCAATGAAAATGACTAGTCTCCCACAGACTGTGGATGTCTCATCAGTAACAAAGACTGTATTAAAAAAAACTTGCTGCCGATTTGCAGAAAACAATATTAGCAAATGTGGCTGCACTCCGGGCAGACCTCATGGAATTAGTGGGGAAGCTGACTGCAGTGGAGGACGTTACAAGGTGGACTCCAAGACTCACGTGTCTTGAGCAATCATCAGGTCATGCAGCATACTCTAAATATGCATGAATGCCGCTTTTTCACTTGTGAAGGTGCACGCGACCGGAAAAGCCTTAAGATCTGGGGCATCACGGAGGATGTTGTGGCCACATAATTACAATATTTCCTGAGATGCCTCTTCAAGGCATTACTATCGCCTCGACAAGCAGAAAACATCTGGAAGTCTTCTTTCGGCTCCTTGTACCAGCCAAAGCATCCTTCACAGAGATCTTGTGGTCCAATTTGAGAACAATTGTTGCCTCTGTCAAGAAGATATTGCCTCTTCCATTTGAATCAATGCAACATACCTTCTTTGCTGGCCTTTTTAATGATATGCTACCTGGAGAAGATCTCTTCAACCCTTTACCGACCACTTGAGAACGTACATCATTCTTATAGATAAATTTTATATACGTATTTCTTAGAAAACCCTCCATTCACTTTATTTCACCATTTACTTTTTTCCTCTACACCTGCATAGTTTTGTTATAATGTTGATAAACCATATTCCTTTTGTATAAATATATGGGGAAGTTTACATTAGTGAACTATGCAAAAATAAAAAATATATAAAAAAATAAAATAAAAACAGCAGCCACACAATACAGTATATTGTATATTCTTAAAATTGTTGGTCTATGCCCAGACTACACAGAATGTTTGAAATTTATTTAACTGCTGTAATTTTATGATTTTTTTTTTTTTTTTATATCTCAGCGATCCTGCATACTTTGATGAAAACTGGTTAAATAGAATTAAAACAGATGTTGGAGACAATTGGAGACTTAAGGTAAGTGTTGTTTCTTCGGAGGGAACTAAATTCACATCAGTTGCTTTAGAGCAATAGTTGTTTGATATGTAACTATTTAGTTACCTTGAGAACCTGGATAGCGGTCTACAGTCTGACCACCAACTATGTTCTATATGTAAGTGATCAGGATTTTATTTATTCTTAATTGGCATGTATTCAAAAAGATGGCAATTTATATTTCAATTATGCCCCCCAAAATGTTTTTATCCTTTTATTTTTTATTTTTTCCCTAAGCAAAACCAAGAGCACAATTAATTGTACTGTAGTTGAAACATCCATCATCATGCTTCTCTCTTCGCTTTATATAGAATGATCCTGGAACATGGCTATGTCAGAGTACCTGAACAAATACAAATATTTGCTTGGTGTATTGTGCAGTATGCCACAAATGTAGTCGCAGACACTTTGTATGCCATTAATCTATTGTTGAAGATTCACGCAGAATCTTTTTCATGGCTGCCTTTGAGCCAGAACTTTAACACAAGGTTTATAGCTAAACCTAGAGAGTTTTCCCAAAAGATAGATCAAGGACAATAGGGAACATATTTTTCCATCTGATGAATGTTTCCATTTTTTATCTTTCTTTCAGGGAATTTGTTTGCTGGCTAAATGTTAACATTCTGTGACGTGCATCTTAGAAACAATTTATCAGAGCCTAGATCTCTTCCATTCTTCATAAGATGAGAAACGTTTTTAAGGCTTTACTCTGTTACTAAGTAAAAATTTAGCAAAATACTACCATACACTACATGAACTGCCCAAAAAAAAAAAAAGCATTTAACATAATCTTATTAAATGGTACATAATCATTTTTTTTTTTCTTTTTTTTTTGTAGATCAGTAACCTGAAGAAGATTTTAAAAGGCATCTTGGATTACAATCATGAGGTAATTTATTTGAAAGATCATCAAAGGTTTTTATTTCAAAATGTAAATTGAAAAATACTCCCCATAGAATTTTTTTATTTTTTTTATTATTTATTTTATTTATCTCTGTCTTTAAAGGGACACTACATCCAGACAGTCACTAAAGGCACTTCCCTGTTAAAGGAACACTATAGTCACCTAAATTACTTTAGCTAAATAAAGCAGTTTTAGTGTATAGATCATTCCCCTGCAATTTCACTGCTCAATTCACTGTAATTTAGGAGTTAAATCCCTTTGTTTCTGTTTATGCAGCCCTAGCCACACCTCCCCTGGCTATGACTGACAGAGCCTGCATGGAAAACAAAACTGGTTTCACTTTCAAACAGATGTAACTTACCTTAAATAATTGTATCTCAATCTCTAAATTGAACTTTAATCACATACAGGAGGCTCTTGCAGGGTCTAGCAAGCTATTAACATAGCAGGGGATAAGAAAATCGTAATTAAACAGAACTTGCAATAAAGAAAGCCTAAATAGGGCTTTTTTTTTTACCTCTGAACTAAGCAAACCAGGAAGTAACATGACTTGTCTGATTTACAGCTTGGGGTGCTGTTGATTTTATTTATTTTATTAAATAAAGTGAACTAGTTCCCCTTTTGCACAGCTCAATAGCGAGTCAAAAGTTATATAATGCTTTAATCCAGAAAAACACAAAAGAAAATTACTAAAAGAGGTCTAAGAATACTTAGGCCAATAGTCGAATGATGGTCTATATGGGTAAGAAAAGGGGCCTAACCCCATATAATTCAAAAAAACAAAGAGAGGAATAACTACATAAATGTGCGATGTGGAAGGGGCCACCTGATAAAATCCTGTTGCCCCAAACTACCGCACCAATGCAGATCTTACCCAAAAGATTATATATAGCTAAAAAAAAAAAGGACAAATGCTAAGAAGTAAATAGTATACTAAATAAACATAACCTTTATTGCGTCATACGACATGAAAAAATAAAAATACTAAGAAAAAATGTGGAAAGAAAACGTGCAAATAGTGTACGTGGTTAAAAAGGGAAGTCTAGTGGAGTATGCTAGCCAGGTGGCAATATCTCAAATATAATTCTAAAAGGCAGTAGCGAAGTCACAAACTGGTGTCCACAAATGGGCACTTAAAGATGTACTTATGTAATGAAGAAAAGACTGTCAATTGACATACGAGTATATTCAAAAGACTAAACTCAAAAGGAACACTCTATATTTATAATGGTTATAGCTCACTTGGTACAATGTTACTAGTTATAGTATCACACAGTATCTGAATAAGAGAAATGTTACCATTTTGAAGTAAAGACTCTGGTTTCAATTAAATTCAAACAATCAATACAATTGTATATTTCTGTATAATATCTCTAAATAGGTCTATATGTAGAGAAAGACTACAAAGTAAGTAAAGAAAAAACCAAAACCCCATAAACCTATTTGGCTTGATCAAAGAAATCACAGTCTCAGAGTATCTGGGAAACAGAAAAGGTCTAAGTAGTTTCCCAATTAGATACTTTGTACTGTATCCCTAATATGGTTTTATCCCCACCAGTTATTAGCCATATGCCCATCTAGTCAGATGTGTAATATAAAGGACTAGTAGATACCCCACACAACGTCCACTAATCTTCTTATAAAGTAAAGCATAATGCTAGTATAGCCTCTTTTTTTCATTACACAAGTACATCTTTAAGTGCTCATTTGTGGACCATTATAAATATAGAGTGTTCCTTTTGAGTTTAGTTTATGGGGTTTTGTTTTTTTCTTTACTTACTTTGTAGTCTTTCTCTACATATAGACCTATTTAGAGATATTATACAGAAATATACAATTGTATTGATTGTTTGAATTTAATTGAAACCAGAGTCTTTACTTCAAAATGGTAACATTTCTCTTATTCAGATACTGTGTGATACTATAACTAGTAACATTGTACCAAGTGAGCTATAACCATTATAAATATAGAGTGTTCCTTTTGAGTTTAGTCTTTTGAATATACTCGTATGTCAATTGACAGTCTTTTCTTCATTACATAAGTACATCTTTAAGTGCCCATTTGTGGACACCAGTTTGTGACTTCGCTACTGCCTTTTAGAATTATATTTGAGATATTGCCACCTGGCTAGCATACTCCACTAGACTTCCCTTTTTAACCACGTACACTATTTGCACGTTTTCTTTCCACATTTTTTTCTTAGTATTTTTTTTTTTTCATGTCGTATGACGCAATAAAGGTTATGTTTATTTAGTATACAATTTACTTCTTAGTATTTGTTGTTTTTTTTTTTAGCTATATATAATCTTTTGGGTAAGATCTGCATTGGTGCGGTGGTTTGGGGCAACAGGATTTTATCTGGTGGCCCCTTCCACATCGCACATTTATGTAGTTATTCCTCTCAATATTTTAATCCAGAATCCTGACCATTTAACCGCAGAAAGCCATCCATTATGATTGAAGCATGGAGGCCCCCTTTAAAGAAACAGTTCAAACACCATAACAACCTCAGCCCGCTGCTGCTAATAATGCTAATGGAGGTGGAGATACACATGATGAAACTGCTAGTTGTGTATCTATATGTGCAGTGTGCAGTGTTTCCTATAGAAATGCTGTACATGTAGACTCCAAGCACTTTTATCATCTCAAATAACTGAAGTAGTCAGGATACTTGGAGTAACCTTTTAAGAAAAAGGTGTGTGTGGGTAATATTTTTTTTTTTTTAAACTGGAGCTCTGTATTTGAAATTTACATATTTAGTACAAGCATTTCTTTCCTAGTTCCCTTTTGAAGCATTGTGGCTTATTTAAATTTTTATTCTAGTTTAGCTGCTCGGTTTCCGAATTAATGTGCAAAATATAACTAATAGTTGCACTGCACACTCCTTGGCATATCAACGTTTTCAAATAAGTGTATTTATAATAAATCATGTGACACATTACTTCTTGTTTTTATAACATGCAGTTTTGCTTTGCATTGTTTTCAGATTCTGGGACATCAGATAAATGACTTTACACTTCCGGATGTTAATTTGGTTGGAGAGCACGCAGACGCATCTGAACTTGGCAGAATGTTGCAACTTATTCTTGGCTGTGCTGTAAAATGTGAACAGAAGCAAGGTAACTCATAGTGCCTCTCCACACTGCACAGCTAATCTGGCATCATGGCCTATTGCAGACCATTAACATCTATTTTTTAAATCAGAAGCTTTTGATTCATAAAGATTTACTCTGCTGCAGCAATTTTTATTTTTACAATTTAATATATATATAAATATAGTTTAATGTATTCATTTTGCAATTTCACTTTATAATAACAAGCTACGAGCTGTATACACTTTACTTGGAATCTTTTTAGTTTTTGATAGTCCTGTTTGCAAAATTACAACTTAGCATTGTTGTTTACTTGTGCCTGTTAAACAATGTTCTGTTAATATAATTGATACCCCAAAGACAAATTCATTCTCGACACATGGGTTGGATCGTTTCTCACCTAGACAGACGGTAGCATATATAGCCTGAACCTCTGTTGAGTCGATTGCCTTGACTTTATTGGTCCTTGACTGCTGCTTAAAAGCTTAATACAAGCAGCATGACAAGGCTGGTTAATGTTAATTCTGTGCATATTTCTATTATTTGTTCAGTTGTTCTGCTGCTCTGCAGAAGCCGGATGTTGTAAGCCTTTTGCACAGGAGACCAGGTACCCGACGGCCCATTACTGTGGAACAGCATTAGAGTATTTTTTTAAATAAAAAAAATAACAGAGAAGGCTGTCTCTCATGCATCCTCCAAGACTTATGATAAAGCTGCTGTATCATTCTGCACGCCCCATATAGCAGAGATATTACACACAGGTGTAAAGTCATATTATCAGGGTGAATGGGTGTTATTCAGGGGCAAAGTGCTAAGTAAAGAGTAATTACTATGGAAACTAATAAAATATCTCTCAACATTTAGCACTTTGCCGCAGAGTAACACTTAGTTTGTTTTCGTACTTGATAAATATGGTTGTGATGTTTAACTTCCGATGGCAGTTAAATAATTTTATATTCTTCAAAATATCTTGGGATTCCCTATGAGTACTCTACACTAATTGTATGTAATGTGTAAATCATTACAGGAGTTACAGTATTATTATTATTTTTTTTCTCTCTCTCCTGGATGTGATGAAGATTGTATTGCCATGTAGCACAAATACTTTTGAATCTGTCTGAATTATTGCAATACAAGGGTCTCCTCGAATACATTTTATTTACACGACAATGGCTGTCTATTACTTTAGACACAAAATTGGCATCCCATGATTTGTAAATGTACTTGCTATGCCCTGGGATACAGCTATTATCAATATAATTACTCAATCATACTGAAATGATGATATTCTATCTTAATTTGTAGAGTACATCCAAACAATCATGATGATGGAGGAGGCTGTACAACACATGGTGATGACTGCCATTCAGGAGGTATGTTGGATTCACTCAATCTGAAATACTGCACATCCAGCCTCCTACCACCATGACCACTTCAAATCACTAAAATCATCATGGTGGTTGGAGTAACCCGTTAAATTAAAATCTATTCATTTGCTTGCTTAATAAAGATTACATTTTCTATTCTTAATTCTAATTCGTGTGTACAATGACAGATACACTTTAAGGCTTCCGCGGAACACATGTAATATCATGTGAAGATCATGCCAAAGCAGGAAATGTTAAAAGGACATTATAGGCTTCACAATAACTTTAGCTTAACAAAGCTGTTTTGGTGCACCTGCAATCTTGCTGCTTAAAGGACCACTATAGGCACCCAGACCACTTCAGCTTAATGAAGTGGTCTGGGTGCCAGGTCCCTCTAGGGTTAACCCTGCCTGTTGTAAACATAGCAGTTTCAGGGTTAGGGTTAATCCAGCCTCTAGTGGCTGTCTCATTGATTTTCACAGTGAGAAGGCGCCAGCGTCCATAGGAAAGCATTCAGAATGCTTTCCTATGGACTGACTGCGCGTGAGGCTCTTGCCGCGCATGCGCATTCAGTCGATGATGTCCAAAGGAGGAGGAGAGTCCCCAGCGCCGAGGGAGCCCGGCGCTGGAGAAAGGTAAGTGATTTAACCCCTTCCTCCAGCTTCAGCCCGGCAGGAGGGGTGCCATGAGGGTGGGGGTGTTTTCCTGGCACTATAGTGATCCTTTAATTCACTGTCATTTAGGTGTTAAATCACTTTAGTTTCTGTTTATGCAACACTTTCCTCAACTCCTCTTCATCTGGCTCACACAGCCTATGTGGAAAAACTGGTTTTATTTTCAATCAGGTGTTAACTTGCTTTTGTAATTTTTATCTTCTGCTGTATAAATTAAACTTTAATCACACACAGGAGGATCTTGCATGATCTTGAAGGCTACTAAAAGAGTACGAGATAAGAAATTCTAAATTAAACAGAATTTGCTATAAAGGAAGTTTAAACATTAGATCTTTCTTTACAGGAAATTGTGGTTGGGTCTGCATTAACATAGTGATGTAACTCCTGAGTGGCAGACAATTGAGCAGTGAGACTGATCTGTGCACTCAAACTGCTTTTATCATTAATCTGATGTTGTTTTGGTGATTATAGTATCCCTTAAAATGTATTTTATAATAAAAGTATTTTTTAAAAATGTACATTGCTGCTGGTGACTATCTAAAGTAGCACTTGAAGCACCATAACTTCCCTGCTCACTGTTGTGGCTGTGTTGCTATAAGCATTTGAGTCACTTGTATGTTAACTGACATTTAATGTGGATAAGTGCAAGATAATGCATCTTGGACGTAAAAAACCAAGGGCAGAGTACAGAATATTTGATAGAGTCCTAACCTCAACATCTGAGGAAAGGGATTTAGGGGTGATTATTTCTGATGACTTAAAGGTAGGCAGACAATGTAATAGAGCAGCAGGAAATGCTAGCAGAATGCTTGGTTGTATAGGGAGAGGTATTAGCAGTAGAAAGAGGGAAGTGCTCATGCAATTGTACAAAACACTGGTGAGACCTCACTTGGAGTATTGTACGCAGTACTGGAGACTGTATCTCCAGAAGGATATTGATACTTTAGAGAGAGTTCAGAGAAGGGCTACTAAACTGGTTCATGGATTGCAGGATAAATCTTACCAGGAAAGGTTAAAGGATCTTAACATGTATAGTTTGGAGGAAAGACGAGACAGGGGGGATATGATAGAAACCTTTAAATACATAAAGGGAATCAACTCAGTAAAGGAGGAGACTATATTTAAAAGAAGAAAAACTACCACAACAAGAGGACATAGTCTTAAATTAGAGGGGCAAAGGTTTCAAAATAATATCAGGAAGTATTACTTTACTGAGAGGGTAGTGGATGCATGGAATAGCCTTCCAGCTGAAGTGGTAGAGGTTTACACAGTAAAGGAGTTAAAGCATGCGTGGGATAGGCATAAGGCTATCCTAACTATAAGATAAGGCTAGGGACTAATGAAAGTATTTAGAAAATTGGGCAGACTAGATGGGCCGAATGGTTCTTATCTGCCGTCACACTCTATGTTTAACATAACATTAGTTAATCTACACTCATGGAAAGCTCTTTGAAAATTGAGACATTTTTAATTTGTACCCCCTTTTAATGTAATATTTTCTTCTTACAGTTGATGAGTAAAGAAACGCCTGTCTCTATTGGAACTGATGCATATGCTGAGCTTGATCGCCAGGTAAACAGTTCTTTTATATTTATGACAAAGCAGTGCATGGTGTAATCGTTGGGCTTGATTTATCTACTCCAAGTACAATAATCCATGCTGGATATTGCAGTGGTTATGGTTTACAGAGTTAGTGGTTGAAATTCTTCCAGACCTTTTCAATACATTTTCTAGGTTTTACAATAACTCACCAAAAAGCTAAAGTCTAGTTTCTGTATTATCTGTACAGATCTGTCCACATTTGTCTCCAGCACTTGCAACATAGCATTCTTATCCATATTTGTATCGTTAATTTAAAATATTAGCTGCACCAGAGTAGGAACGACTTGGCTGCCTAGATAGCCACCATCACTATATCCGTAAGCTATAGTCTTTAGTGTACCTTTTTAATTGTGATCTTTTATCTGTCTTCAATAAGTAGCTCTCTATCAATTAATAAACTTCAACGTCCCTAATTCTTTGCCATCCTATAGGTGGCTTAATATCATGGCTTAAGCAGAGCTTAAGTTTTGGAGACATCTGATGGGTATCTGGTAAAGAATGAATAATGCAAAATAGGAAAGGATTACTCAGAGCATCATGGACACATGAGGGATTCCAAGTAGTCATGGTGCCTAGCATTTTTATGTGCATTTTTCGACTATAAAATGCTGCACATACAGAGTTTAACTCCAAATCTGGCTACATCATTAGTCAACCGTGAACAAGAGTTCAGGGATTGCTAGTGTCAATTCTGCATATATTTCTACGTGCAGAGTTTCATTAATTGGCTGAGAGCGATCACCCCAGCCGTACCAGGTAAGAGTTCAGACATGTAAAACCAGCATCTAGTTTATAATAACAACTGGTTTTCCTTTAGTTTGTAACATCATTGGCTGTTTTTTTTTTCTTTTCTATTCAAGCTTTCAAACATAAATGGTTTTGAAGATACTAATTTTTGTTTGTTTGTTTATAACTGTAGTTAAAGAAGGCCACTGAAGAGTTAAATGATGCTTTATCAGCGAAAGAAGAAATTGCACAGCGGTGCCATGAATTAGATATGCAGGTTAGTGTTTTTTCTTTAATAATACAGCAATTTAATGATCAAAAGCTGGTGTATGTTATGTATTACTGATAAAAAAAAAGTTTGCACTATTGGTCTTTTGTATGCATTACAAAACTTGATTTCATAATGTCTTTAAAGTTACCCTCTACACCCTATAGCTTTGGCTTATTGAAGTTGCTATAGGTGCAGTGTCTTTGCTCCACCTTCAGTAAGTTAAACCTTTTTCCAACGGGTTAACTCCAAAGTTAATCCTACGGCTCCTAACACCCCTGCCCCTAACTTCTTTTTTCCAGGCTGACACAGTATATAGAGGTTATGATGGGCGGTCAGGGAAAATAAACTCTTGTTAGGTGAAGGTTTACTTGGGCTGAGTCAGGGTCTGCAAATGGACCCAAGTTTTAGCACTCTTTCATTGCTAGCCTCAAGTACTCTGTATTATTGAGACAGAAATAGCACTGCCAGTTACATAAACTGTGAAAGTCCCATTTTAACTCTTAATATGGTGCATTAATTCTACTTTACAGTGTGGGGATATTGCTGTGGGTAAGTGGAGGGTTTTAAATCGATGCAGGTTTAATTGCTCTAAACTCAGGGTTTATGCTCTGCTAGAGGGTTAATAAAGCAGGTGTCTTAAAATATAGGTTTATATAATGCTATGAATGTATTCAAAGATTTGATGTCTTAATATGATTCATAAAACATGTGGGAGTTTAGGGCTGGACATGGTATAGGGTAGTGTTTGGTGAAAGGTATGAGTCAACATATGTGGGTGGAGCCATACAAATTACCACTTAGGTGAAGCCCACCAGCATTTTTTGCTACCTTGTATAGACATAATTACTGCATATATGTAGGTCTGCACTAGGTTTCATCGTGAACTCTGACGAACTTTATCAACAAAATCAGGAGGTATGTAAGGTGAGTATTTATAGTAATATTTCCCTACAGCGTGTAAAGACATTTTATTTTTTCTTGCTTTAGATTGGCTTTAGTTATCAATGAGCAGTACGGCATGGTTTCTGTTTTATGAAATGCTCTCTTAGGGTGAAATGGTTATAAAAATGATGATGATGATGATACATTTCCAGGTTATCTCCTAACTATTCTCTTGCTTTGCTTTTTATGCAATTGAAGGCGTATGCTATTCAAGAAGAGCGAGATAAACTGAGATTTGAATGTAATGAGCTAGAAGAAAGGGTAAATTGTGAATGTAATGCTCACGTTAAAGCATTGTCCCACGAGTACTAACTCAAACCTGCTTGTGTTTGCACATGGTTTTATTACTTTTTAAATACTAACTTTAAATGCACAGGTATATTTAACATCACTCAGACATGTTTTGTTGTGGTAGCCAGGTATTTGGGTATTGATCTCTCTCTCTCTCTCTCTCTCTCTCTCTCTTTCTGTAAGTCTGCACAATGGCGATAAATGGCAATGATAATAATTAGTGAATAATACCAAAGCGTTTAAAAACGAGCAATAGTTTACTTTTCAATTGTTTTACAGTTTTCTCTTTAGATATAAAACTGTATTTTAATGTCAGCCTTCAGCATTATCCTACATTCTATATGTTTTTTGTATGTGTTTAGATTTTTTGTTTTTTTTTGTTTACAGAGGTAAACCAATTCAAAAACACTCAAAGCACTATAACCAAGGCTGTTTACTGTAGTGGTTTTAGTGTCAGGAGTGCCCTGGCACCTATCTATGTAATAGTCAAACATTTGAGAACTCGCCAGGGGTGTGCCAGGTGCCATTCACATTTTCCATGAGAGCTGTAGGCTCTCTGCATTGTGCTTAGCCTCATTGGCCGAGAATGGTCAGCTGATTCTGCACATCAAGGTTAAGCTCAGGAGAGCTAACAGAAGCTCCAGGAGCTTCTAGCATCATTGCAGGAAGTGGCTTCAGGTAAGATGTCAAACTGTTAGCAAATGGTTTGACTACTCACATTGCGCGGTGTAGGGGGTGGGATATAGCCAGGGCACTCCTGTACCATAACTACTGCAGCGTGCTGTAGTGTTTATGTCTTTTAGAGTGTTCCTTTAAGCTTTATATAAATTGTTCCATAAATAGTAAATAATTTAAGGAAATATACAATAAGGTCTTTATATATTATGTGCATGTTTTGTCTTCGTTTAGCTTATAACATTTTGTAAATGTAACATAAGCAAGACTTTCTTAACAAGTGATTGTTTTTGAGAAATTGGGCTCTAATATAATGCATGGTATTTTCAATATTTACTGCAATACAATAGTGCTTCTTAAAGACATATGAATAGTAGTATTGTAACCTGTTCCTATATTTAAATGCCGTAGTAAGATTGTTTTGTGAAGGGAAAAATGCCTTTTATAAGTTTCTTACTGTAAACATAAGAAAAAGCTTTTTCTAGAGCAGGGATAGGCAACCTTCGGCACTCCAGTTGTTGTGGACTACATCTCCCATAATGCTCTTACCCCCATAATTATGGCAAAGCATCAAGGGAGGTGTAGTTCAAAATATCTGGAGTTCCGAAGGTTGCCTATGGCTGTTCTAGAGCATTGTACACTTAGCCCAGTGTTATGCATTAGAGGGATGCGCGTAGTTTATAATAACCGTTTTAGATTGCAAATCTAATTTAGAAACTATTAACCTCATTGTTACTTTCTACCGAAAAATGGGAATGATATCACAGAAATGTAGCATACCACACCCTTCCTCTGCACCTATGCACCTATGAGCTATGTTGTCTTTTTTTCAAAGTGCTGTATTTGTGCTTTTAGTATATATATTTTTCGATATTTTAAATTAAAACATACATAGCACTGTAAAAGTACACCTAAGCATAAATTGTAAACTTAAGGTATCCCGTTATATTTGCATTAGCATGCATGCCTTCGAAGGGCTTCCTGGGATGATAATGGCCGACCATCATGGGGACCTGAGACCCCAGCATGTAGAAGTGTATGCAATCACGGAAAAAAGTCTGCAACAGCACTGGGAAGTTCTACAGGGAGCCAAGTTTGTTTTATACTTATCTCTGGTGCATATCACACCAGGAAATGCTTTTGGACTCTAGTGTCCATCGCAACCTATTATACATAATACGTGATGAATATATTTTAATCATCCTTTATTAATTTTAGATATAATATCTCAGAGGGATGAGGAGGGCCCTTTAGTGATCGTATTACTGGTAAAATGGTTTATTAACCGAGATAAAATTATTTAAATGTCAGATCCTTTCAAAAGCTTCATACTTGCAGCGACATTATGCAGGGGAAATAAAATAGCTTTCAATGCTGATTTTTTTTTTTTTTTTGTAGAAAAATCAGACAAGCTTTCTCAAACGTGTCACATCAGATAGCAAAGTGGCTCACAGCAAGTTTTCTTTGTATGCTTGTGTGTGCTCGCATTTTTTTTTATAGGAACAGGTTATAAAAAGGTGTAGTTTATAGGTTGATACTAACTGTATACTGCTCAGTAATGACTGCATTTAAAAGTGATGACCGACACCTATTAATGATTTTGTGTTCAATGCGTCTGCCTTTGTTGTTCATGGATTTGGATGTGTCCCAGAACAAGGAGTTTAGTTGTAACCTTCTAAAGATAGAGAGGGGATTACTGTAAAGGTCAGTGAGGGATTCTTAAAGAGACTGTGATGATTAAACATATATTGATTAGAGAAAAGTGCATGTTTAGAAAAGTTTCTACATAAGTTGACATTAAGTAACTTGCACAATTTCAGTTTATCTTCAGGAAGATTATTATTTTTGTTTATTTCTTATGATGCACACTAGGTTGATTGGAATTGTGGCTATTTAGTTTTTGCAAGTATCTCTTTATGAAGCTATGCTTTTAGTTCACAATTCAGTATTGATGTCAGATATATCCTATATAACCTTTATTTTTGTTAGTCTTCATGATTTCCTGCTGCTTTATATGGTCAACACCTTTTTGTATGAAGGTGTAAAGGGACACTATAGTCACCAGAACAACTACAGCTTATTGAATTTGTTCTGGTGAGTAGAATCATTACCGTCAGGCTTTTTGCTGTAAGCACTGTCTTTCCAGAGAAAATGCAGTGTTTACATTACAGCCTAGTGATAACTAACAGCCATCTAAGGAGTGGCCAGTGAAGAGATCCTTCCTGGGTCATGGCTGCCTAAAATGCATCCAAACATTCAGTGTCTCCTCCCTCTGCATGCAGACACTGAACTTTCCTCATAGAGATTCATTGATTCAATTCATCTCTATGAGGAGATGCTGATTGGCCAGGGCTGTGTTTGAATCATGCTGGCTCTGCCCATGATCTGCCTCTTTGTCAGTCTCAGCCAATCCTATGGGGAAGCACTGTGATTGGATCAGGCCACCACTTCTAATGATGTCAGCAAACAGCTTGTTTTTCTGAGGCAAACAGGCTTCAGGCTTGAATACAGTAAGATTTTGCTATATTTATGGAGACATGAGGGGTACAGGGGGGCTAGATGGTGGTGTTCACACTATAGGGTCAGGAATACATGTTTGTGTTCCTTACCCTATAGTGATCCTTTAAATTCCTACACTATTATGTTTTATATAAAATACATTTAGAATGATGGAGCAACTGCCATTAAAGTGATTTTGATATGTCATGATATATATTACTGGAATATATTGACAAAAGCCCCGTTGTGGGCTGAAACATTGTTTTTCATCTTCTTCAGTAAATCTGCTCACTGGATTTACCCTGAGTTCTTGGACCATCATTACTTTTCTGGAATATATCAAAGGCAAAATGCTTTCTTCCTTCTAAACCACTTTGTTGAGACTTGAGAGTAGGGTGAATGGGTTATTAAACCTTTTTTGTCACTTTAAATGCAATAATGATATAAAATGACTGTAACACTTTTCTGCTGTGGAATTTACTGTTGCTGCAGTGGCAATCTGTGTGTGGCTGGCATGCTGATTGTATAACATGACCCAGAGGAAGCATCATGATTCCCTTTGTGTCATGGAACACATACTCAGAACATGTGTTATTGTTGTAGGTTGCTGGACTTCAAGAGGAGAAGAGTAGTTTGCTTGCTGAGAACCAGATTTTGATGGAACGATTGAACCAGTCAGATTCTTTAGAAGATCCCAATAGCCCAGCTGGACGTAGACATTTGCAACTTCAAACTCAACTTGAACAACTCCAGGAGGAAACCTTTAGGTAAGACCGGTGATGAATAATGGTAAACATTTTTTTTTTTTCTGGTAGTTGATCATATATTTATGTTTCTTGCAAATTAAAGAAACCCTCATGCCCACTGCATCTTATGATTATATTACCTTCCACTGCCACTTGCCTTTATTTGTATTTATTACAAAATCTTTCTTGTGTTGGATCTCAATACCTTGGTGCAGCCATTTTGTTCACCTCTGCTCATGATGTCTGCTGTTTTTACCATTTTGCAGAATTGATTTTTACCAATGGATTGGGTGTACATTTGGTAACTGAAACAGAGTATTGCTTTCAGCTCTGCCTATTGTCACCTTAACTGCTATACATAAAGAAAACTAGTCCTGACTAGGGTATTCAGGGACGCAAAGCTATGTAATGGCATATTAGATTAAGTTTATTTTTGGTGACAAATCGGCTTTAAAGGGAAATTATTGTGCCAGGAACACAAAGTTGTTTTCCTGGCACTATAACTCCCTATAGGGCCCCTCTATATCGGCGATGGTTCAGGCTCCGCTTCTGCTCCTGCCACGTCAGCCGGCAAGGGGGGACCTATTGCGCATGCGCATTGAACGCCATGATCGCATTAGAACTTCCCCCATCAGAAAGCATTATATAATGCTTTCCTGTGGGTTTTGGTGTGCTACTGGATAATCTCAAGCATAACATGATGACGTCCAGCTTCAGTTCGGTGACCAAAATTCACCTAACCACCCAGAAACCCCTCTAGTGGCTGTCTGGTTGATAGCCCCTAGAAGTGGAGTTAACCCTGGCAGGTAACTATTACAATTTTTTTCAAAACTGAAATAATTACAATTGCAGGGTTAAGGGATCTCGGATAGTGGACCCAGACCACTTCAATGAGCTGAAGTGGTCTGAATGCCATTAGTGTCCCTTTAAGTACCTTTTTTGGGGGAAAGATGAGAATTGATTACCTTCTTATGTATTAAGATTGCATCTAAAACTACCAAAAATATTTTTGTCACAAATTAAACACTCTAGGTTATTTACAAAAGTGAGAATTTTCAGAACGTCAAAGTGAATTACAAATAAAAGACCAAAATAACTGAACTGAAAGCAGAATTACCTTAGAGAATTTTTCAAATTTTGGTTTTTTTTTTGCCTAAATTTTGAAATGCACTTTGAATCCCCCTGCAATTCTCACTTTAGTAAACATCTCCTAGTACTTTTAATTAGTGACAGGAGTTTTAGGTGTAATCTAAATTCTTAAGATAATATCTCATTGATGTGGTCTGGGTGCAAACTCCCATCACTCTTGACCCTGAGCATGTAATTATATAAACTGCAATAATTTCCTGCTAGGGTTAACTTCTCCTCTAGTGGCTGTCTACTAGACAACCACTAGAGGGACTTCCGGAATCGAATTGGACCTTTGGTCCGTTATCTGACACTGGACGGAGCATGAGGACTTCCAGCGTCAGATTTTTTTTTTCCCCATAGGAAAGCATTGAATAATAATAATAATGCTTTCCTATGGGGAAATCCTAATGCGAGCACGGCCACGCACATTAGGTCTCCCCCGCCAGCGGACGTCGGAGCAGGAGGAGCATGGGCGCAGCTGGACACAGATAAGTGACTGAAGATGTTATTAACCCCTTCAGCACCGCAGGAGGGGGCCTTGACAAAGGGGGAAGCTATAGTGCCAGAAAAATGAGTTTGTTTTCCTGGCACTATAGTTTCCCTTTAAGGTTGCAATGTATTTGGCGTAATATGGATTGTTCTGTCTCTAAATGCAGCACTTTGCCCTTGGGTTACTCTAGTTTTCCCTCTGCATGTGTCCTACAAGTTTGTTTTGTGCTAATCACATACTTTCTCAAGGTTTATTACAATTGAGAGATTTGGAACACAAATATGGTGTTTTTAATCTGTGTTGCGTACACAAAGCCCTTGTTCTATAAAGAGTTAAGCTTCCTCTAACAAAGCATATATGTAGGAAGATGTGCTTTTTATGCAACACTCTTTCAAAAATTCTATACACTTTGTTCCTTAACCAAATGCTGATACTGACTTTTTTATTTTTTAGTTTGACTGACTTCCTTATGATAAAAAAAAACTCTTTTTAACCAGAAGTAGCATTTTTCCGTTTGTTTTTCATGAGGTTTCATATGGGATGTTTGAGATTTTCTGTCACTTTTTTTTAGTTCTTTTTCATTTTAAGTCAGTAGGTTTATCAAGTACTAAAATGGAAATGTGTTTTTAAAGCTTTAAAATATTTTCTTAAAATGATAACGCTAGTAAAAATGTTAATTGCGTAATACACAAGACTGCATGCAAATAAAGATGTCCACAGTAAATTACAATAAAGTGTACCTGAGTACACCATATCATGTGACCATATACTGTATATCGGTATGTTTATTGAAAATTGGTTAAAATGGATACGGTAACTATTGCAGTTCTTCAGATAAGCACAAAATGTACTCTGAAAGATTGTTAATTTTGTCGACTAACAATTTTAGTTGAGATTTAGTAGAGTAAAACTAAAACAATCAGATGATAAAATACTACTAAAATTATAATGACTTTTTAGTCAGACTTAGGGAATGAGACATATGGGGTTAGGGGACACGGAGGGGCTGGGGAAGAGGCAAAAGAGAGCAAGGCTTTATTAAACCCATTAGATTTTAGTTGTGTTGGCTAAAATCTTCAGGAGATTTAGTCGACTAAAACGAAAACAATTCAGATGACTAAAATACGACTAAAATGGCTTTTTAGTCAAAAGACTATGATTAAAACTAAATTAAAATTTGCTGCTAAAATTAACACTGCTCTGAAAGTGAGAAAACATATGCCATATGGGACAATAAAGTCCAACACGTGTATATATACAGTAGAGTGAACAGGAAAAGAAGATTTGTGACAGCTCTGTCTCACTTTATTATCTTGTTCTTTCTTCGTAGCTGCTCCCACTCTTTCTGCAATTTCCAGGAACATTAACTGAACGTTTTAATGGTGACACAACTGTTCTAACCATAGCTGTTTTTTTTGTTTTTTTTTGTTCTGTCTCTATTTCTTCTCTAATAGGCTTGAAGCATCCAAAGATGATTACAGGATACGATGTGAAGAGCTGGAGAAAGAAATAACAGAATTAAGACAACAGAATGACGATTTAACAACTCTTGCAGATGAAGCTCAGTCACTTAAGGATGAAATGGATGTATTAAGGTAATCAGTATTGGTTGCCACATGCCTTTCAATTGCTTTTCTTGTCAGTGGGACCTACTCTGTACCATTTGGGGGGGAGGGAGGGAAGAGGATGTATTGTTTTCTTAGGTAAACCATTTTAGATAAATTACATATATTTAGAACTAATTATTATTTGCGGTTTAAGTGTCCTTGAGAGTGAATATTGTACCTGCATCTTTCCTGTATTTTCTAGAGCTAGTGTACCGCCTCTTCTTTTTACAAAGTGCATTTATTTAAAACGTAACCATGTAATATACATTTTTTGACTGTGCTCTTCTGTTTTTGTTTTTTGTTTTTTTTTACCTAGCAGTTTTTCGGTTCTGCTGATTAGACAGATCTTAGCACATGCTGGGCTCATTATTAGCCCTACTAGTGTTTTCAGTACCTTTCTTAAAGATCATGCTTTGACATTTGAGCTGCAAGAAAGATCACAATTTCTCATCTCAATGTCTCTAATAATTAAGTTATGATTTCTTGATGGATAAATTATGGCAGGGAGATAACTTCCTTCTTAGGAATGATATTTGCCCTTTGCATTCATACATTATTGAGCTTCCCTTTATCCTATTTATGTTTCTATCATTATCCATCTCTTCAAAAAAAGTGGATTACTGATTTCAGAAACATCCAAAGCCATTGCATTCATACATTATTGAGCTTCCCTTTTATCCTATTTCAGACATCCCAACTTGCAAAAAAACTTGCATTTCAGGGAGGTGGCTGCACCAGCTACAGCGTCACCCCTCCACAGGCGCGCACCCTACCCACATACAGCCCAGAAACATTTATGAACACCTTGACATACAGATACACGCACTGGCACATACACACTCAGATACACACTGACACACAGATACAGACATTGAAACACACTTACTCAGATATGCACACAGATACACACACACAAACACATACACTTAGATACACACAGACACACTCAGATACACACACTGACACATACATTCAGATACACACACTGACACATACATTCAGATACACACACTGACACATACACTCAGATACACACACGGACACATACACTCAGATACACAGACTCGGATACACACTGACATACAGATAAACACACTGACACATACACTCAGATACAGACACTGACATACAGATACACATACACACACACACTGACAAACACACGGATACAGATACATACTGACACAAACACACAGTGACATACAGATACACACACCCACTGACACAAACACACAGATACACACACTGTCCTACAGATTGACACAAACTCATAGATACACACTGACATACAGATACACACACAAATGCTCAGATACACTCCTCTTAGCTTACTTTTTTCTCCGGGAGGGTGACTTGCTTGCTGCTCTGGTCCTGGCTGAGGCTGATGGGAGAGAGCATGCAGTGGCAGCTCACTCTAACCTCTCTTCTCCCTCCATCCTGCTGTGTATCTCTTCCGCATCCTCCCTCCAGTCCACCTGTGAGGCTCTCTGTGAAGCAGGTGTTCTATCAAAATCCCCTACCTCGTGAAAATCCCCTACCCTCGTCATTCCGGTGAGGGGAATCAGCTGGCTCCTGTGCTGCACATGCGTGCTTGCACTCCTGCTACTCCTCCACAGCAAGGTCCTGGAAGGTAAGTAAAACTAGTTTTACACTTTCATTATAGTTCGTGCATTCACTAAGCTTAGGCACACGGGACATTTAGGGTTAAGTGAGGGTTCAAATTAGGGTTAGGTAAGTGCTTCTAACCTCTCTCACTCTCTATTCTTACCCTAACCCTTGGGGTAAGGGTTAAATAAAGTGTGAAAAAGCACAATTTAGTGATATTCCCCTAATGTGAAATATCACTAAATATGAACAAGTCAGTAATCCTAACCCTAATTTGAACCCTAACATTAACCCTAAATGTCCCATGTCCTAAGCTTAGTGAATGCACTAACTATAATGAAAGTGTAAAACTAGTTTTACTTACCTTCCAGGACCTTGCTGTGGAGGAGTAGTAGGAGTGCTAGCACGCATGTGCAGCACAGGAGCCGGCTGATTCCCCTCACCGGAAGTGACGAGGGTGGGGGAATTTGATAGAACACAGGCAGGAGGTGACAGGCTGACACCACTTCCTCCCTGCCGACTAATAGTCGGCTCTTAAAGTGCTGGTACTCTTACCAGCCCTGCTTCGTGATTATGAGGGAAGGGACCAGGGGGCACAAATATTGTATAATATCCTGGAAACCAACACACACAATCTGATATACAATGTATGACAGATTGTGTGTGTGTGTGATTTCAAGGATATTATACATGTTCTGCGGGTGTCAGGGAGCCGCATGCAAAATGGAACTACCGGGAGACTTGGCTTGTCTGCTATTTATGGTTATTTCCATTTTGGCACAGGATTACATTTTATGAGCCAGGATAAGATAAAAGATTAGGTTTTGGGTATAATAATGAAGAGAGCACTTTAAGAATTGACCACAGTCTGAATGTACTTCAATGGTGTTCGTTTGAGTTGTTATTGGTACAAATTTAGTGTGTCAGATGTTATTATCTGTGTAATCAGTAATTCATATATTCAGATAGGCAAGGATCTGATAATGTGGAGATACAATACTAATCACGTTATATTAATGCATTACCCTGGATTTTTGATTGATGATAATGTAAACACAATAAGAAAAAATATTGTACAAAAATATATATATTTATTAACTATAAAATCTAGTGCAAAAACTAAGAATAATAATATGCGTGATCAATGAGCCTGTTAGTAAATTGGTATATTGAAAGAACAAGCCAGGCAATCTCGAAGGGTACTTTATGAATGTGATGTTAGAGGGCATCTTCCCCTTGTGAAAATACTAATTCACATATTTAGTTTATTTAAAGACATTCTCTTATCACTGTAACCATTACAGCTTGGAGGCAAAGCAGTTTGAAAAAAAAACTGGGGTTGTTCTAGGCTCACACTATACCTGCTGTCCAAAATGTGTGTAAAATAAAATAAAAGGTTTTTTGTTTTTTTTTAATGTTTCTGCTGTTTATGATTTTTTTTTTTTTTTTTTTAAAGCTATAGCATGGATATTGCACCGTAAAAAATGTTTTAATTCAGATATTTGCAAAACTTAAAAAAATATTTTACTTAATCACTTGAAAAACATTTTTGGCTACTTACACGTCTAAAATGGCGGTCTCTTACCTTGGTGCATAAGCAGAAAATGGCAAATCACCCTGCAAACAAAATTCAGATTTAAAAAAAATAAAATATAAATTTTTGTTTTTCTTTTCTTTTTATTACAGGTTTTTGTTTGTTTTTTTGTAATGGGTTTTTATTTTTATGGGTTTTGTAAATGGTTTGCCTTACCACAGTGTAGAACTGAATGATGTGTCTAAGCTTGACATGAGGCCAAAATAGTTTGAAGGCAGAGCCATAGCAATTTCCTGTGCAGCTGTGTTCATTCTTATGTCTGTTGTAAAAGAGGGTGACTTAATGATAATGTGATTTCTCCTTTTAGCTTCAACTAGTGACTTCTAGATGTTACAGTGTGTGGGTAGATTTTCACTGTTTCTGATTGTAACAATTGATCCCTCTGATACCAGTTGCCTATTTATAAAATGGACAGAGAACTGATTGTGGCAGTGTTCAAAACCATTTTTTGTAGTCCATCATAAACTCCTCATATTTATTGATGCCTTGGAGGGACTGCACACTATTATAAAGCTTTAATACAGCAATTGTTATATAATATAATAAGGCTTTGTAACTACACTTGGCGAACCCATACTTTGTGTGACAGAGCCGCAGTTCTGCCACTATGCAGACACATTTAACCAAATTTCTCACTAATAAAGCTAAAGTCACCCTCCCTGGTTCCCCATGTACTTCACTAGGCACAGTCCTGAAGATTACCCTCAATTCAATCCAAGGTTAAGACTTTCACTGGGGATGATTCTGTACTCTTTTGACCAAAGCTGGTGGAGAGCTATCCCGGAACATGTTGGGGTTATTTGTGTCATTTTTAATGTTTTGGGATATATTGTAATAGTGCCCTGATGTCTGGGGATAATTAACATAGTAGTTACTGATCTAATTATCTCTCAGATTCAGAGGCATCAGGGTGGGGTTTGCGCAGTTTAAGCAGTGAACCCCCTGTTGAGGTCTTGTGTATTACGATGCGCCATTCAGTATCTCCTCATAGAGATGCATTGAATCAATGCATCTATATGGGGGTCGTTCAGCATCTCCATGCACAGTGTGGAGGTACTGAAGGTATGTACTCCACAATGTGCTGCACAGTGTGAATTAGGAGTCGCCTCTAGTGGCCATCTGAGTGACTGTCACTAGAGTCATTCCAATGCAGCTATGTAAACACATACGTAAAACAAACCGGAAACAAGGTGATTAAACACACTATGGTTGAAGTACCTTACATCTGGTTATGATAAGTAAACCTAGATGGTATAAAAAATGAAACACATCATAGTGTAGTATACCCCCATAAATCAGAATGGTGAGATAAATTGGAACACTCACAAATTAAAGAGCCAGTTAGTATAGGCATATCATCAATCTAAAATTTTTACAGCGCCACTGATCCTTAAAGGGAAACCCCAGTGCCAGGAGAACAATCTGTTTTCCTGGCACTGCAGGTCCCCTCTCCCTCCCACTCCCCAATCCCCAGTTGCTGAAGGGGTGAAAACCCCTTCAGTAACTTACCTGAGGCAGCGACGATGTCCCACGTTGCTGCTTCTCCCTCTGCCGCCGCTCCTCCTAATGATTACGTCGCCCGGTGGGGATGCCATGCGACGTAATCACTAGGAGGATTCAATGCTTTCCTACGGGGAAATGAGCGACGCTGGAGGTCCTCACACAGCGTGAGGACGTCCAGTGACGCTCTAGCACTGTGCTATAGAGCAGAAAGTGCCCTCTAGCTAACCCAGTACAGAGATATACTGACTCAAAGTAGAGACTTGACAGTACAGCAGTGACGTCCGCTTCTGGCTGAAGCGCCAGGAGCTGAAAAGGACCCGCAGGAAGATGATGGCGGTGTCTGCGAGCTACTGGTCCCTACCGGCTCTGGTGGTCGAGGGTCTTGAAACTTGCATGGGGAGCGGGGGTTGCTAATTATGCAAAGTCCTTAGACGATGCTGCTGCCACCTTAAGCAAATTGATTAAAACATTTGTGAGGAATACATTTTCCAACAAATCTTTCTTTCTTTTTTTTTGCAGCTCTTACACACTTACATATAATGGATGTGTTATACATTTAATGACACCATAAATAAAGAAAAACTCAAGACTACAGGGAAAAAAGGTTTGATCTGAAAAACAATTCATTCTCTTGATTTGGTTATGTACAGGCATTCCTCTGATAAGGTGTCAAAACTGGAGAGTCAAGTAGAGTCCTATAAGAAAAAACTGGAGGATCTTGGGGATTTACGAAGGCAAGTGAAGCTTTTGGAGGAGAAGAACACGATGTATATGCAGAATACTGTCAGTCTTGAAGAGGAACTCAGGAAAGCCAATGCTGCCAGGAGTCAGCTGGAAACCTATAAGAGACAGGTACCTTTGTCCATTTCATAATAATCAGGTCTTCATGCATCTCTCTCAGCAATGATCACCCACACTATGCCAGTGTCATCTGTGTTAGGTGAACCTTGGTATGGTCACCGTATCTGTATTTTATCTTGATTGAGATATCCTTAATTGGATGTATGACAATCTGCTGCATATCGTGAGTGGTTTAGAAGAAGGGTTGGGGAGATTTAGTGATAGGAGAACTTAGTTACACATATAATAAAGGAAATTAAAGCCCAAAGCGTCTTGAAGGTAAGAATTATTAGAGTTAATGTTTGCAACACTTTAAATACAATTATTCCCAGCCAACCCTAAATTCCCCTAATACAACTGTATCTGTGCACGAACACTTCCTGGGTACACCCCCTCCCATATTGTAATGCGGCATGTCTATATCAATGATTCTATAATGGCTGCCCTATTTCCATAGTGGCAAGTATCTACTTTTAAAAAAGATTAAACTTGTGTGCGCTGTTTTAAATTCTCTTACCTCTAATAACAGTCTGGGTTGTAATGTGCTCCATGTTACTAATGTAATATTAATGATAATATTAGCTATCTGCACCAAATCAGGGCATATCAATTCTTGTATTCTAAAATATATAGAATTTTTTTCTGCAGTAATTGTATAAAAATAAAGCAAAAATTGTAAAATATAAATGTTACAATTTGTTTCTACCGTTTTATTAAAGGTACACTCCGAGCACCATAACAACTACAGAGTGCTGTAGTGGTTACAGTGCCAGAAGTATCATGACATCCTCTGAGTTTATGTAGTCAAGTCATTGACAAACCTTGTAGTATTGTGGTGCTTGGAGTGTTTCATTAATATGTTATGCATGTACATCAAACTCAAAATAAAGTCCTCTCTGTACCATAAAACAATGTATATTTAATTGTAAGTACACTGGTCCTTGAAGGATTAAAAATGTATTTCTTAATTATTCTAACAGGTAGTAGAACTGCAAAATCGGCTGTCCGAAGAGTCTAAAAAAGCTGACAAATTGGAGTTTGAATACAAAAGACTAAAGGAAAAAATTGACAGTTTACAGAAAGAAAAAGATGTAAGTATTTCATTTTATCAACACAATGTAATTTGAGACTTTGTTGTAAAGGATACAAGCTTGTGTGCATTTATCATTTTGCCAATTTGTTTGTTTTTCTGTTGCTCAAGAGGATTTTCATTTAAAGTATTTTTCTGAATTGTTGGTAGACACAAATGGGTGAAAAGTTGTTAGAACTTTAACTTTTCAAAATATATTGGACTAGGATGAAGTTTTTGATCATTGTGAAATAAATATCCTGATGAACAAAGAAACATTTTTATTGCTTTTAAGTAATTCTTAAAAGTGTATTAAAGGGACACTTTAAAACGGCACTGTTGTGGCCACATCCGTTTTTTTGTTTTGTTTTTTTTTTAACCTCCCTCCCGACTCAAATGCATCTAATAGCCCCCTTGGTCGCCTCCAAATGCCCCTAAGCCCCTCATATTACCCATATTTAATGTTTATTTTCTGCCCGGACCTAGGTCCTGAGCGCCGCCATCTTTGTGTGGGTAGATGAAGTCCCTGTGGGACACGTCATCTGCCCAAACTAGATAGCGCTGTAAAATTCCCACGAGTTCCTAGTTCGGCATTCAGACGGGAATTTCGACCATTCATTCGTCAGAAAGACGAATGAATGAATAGAAATTATAAACGAACAAACACAGACCGAATGTCGGTGTTTGTTTGTTCGTTCGTTTATTACAAGGAGGGAGCTGCCAGCTCGCAGCTCCCTCCTTATAATATGTAAACATAGAAGCGACAGGGAGCTCTGCTCTCTCCGCACTTCCTAATCCCCCACATGTCCTCCCTCACTCTATGGGAGTCAATATGAGCCCCATAATAGCATAAGGGAGATTGTGAACCCCCCCATCTATTAACTTGCCCCCCCTCCCATCTATTAAAAAAGCACCCCACCACCTATTAACTAGCGGAGGGGACATAGTGGCCCTCGAATCCCCACCCTTGCCCTGCAAGTGTGGGCTATGACCCGCGGGTGGGAACTGCGCTAAATTACAATGATGGGGGACCTATTGCCCCCCCGACCCTTGGTCTCCACCCCCCGGTACCCACTCATGAGCGGCGGGAGGGGTCTCTAAATGGCAAGGGGGGCCTATTGCCCCCTTCTCCCCCACGGCCCCACCCACAGGTCATAGCCCGTGGACCTAAGATGAAAAGGGGATGGGGGCCTGTTGTCGTCCCCTTCCGACCACCACCCATAAGCGGTGGGTGGAGCTCTATATGTAAAAAATAAACCATGGGCGGCCTGACTAGGGGTCACCAAGTCCCTAGTCACCCCCCCACACACACATTTCTACCTACCACTATTTATAGGGGGATAGGGGGACAATAAAACTAAGTCCCTGTAAATAAAAGTAAATATTTACCATTTGAAGTCTTCTTTTTTCATAAATCTTATTTTTTCAGCCCCAAAAAAGGCCAAATTAAAACCATAAAGCCCATCGGATTTTATTGAAAGCCAGAGTGCTCTGAGTAATTTTACACAGCATGGGAAAGAGCTCAGTCTGCGCTGGGCCCTCACTGGGTGAACATGGATTATTTTTGGGGGCGTCAGGATTTTTTTCTTTTTTTTTTTGTAAATAGATTTTTATAAAAATTTTCCAATGTTCAATTAGCCAAATAACTTATAAGTAAACTTCAGTTGGGACACGCAGGTTCCTTCAGAATAAAACATAAACAGTGATATTAAAGGAGTGATGTTCAGTCAATCATACAGTGGTGACGCGCAGGTAACTGTATATCATGCACTTTGGTCACATGTCGGACTCGCAGGTCCCGTAGCAATTAGACATTTGGGTAGTACCCCATAGTCATTTCAAAAGGGCCAGGATGGTCCCGCAGGTCAGTTTTTACTCAGTTTTAAGAACTTTAGCTTGGTATGTTGAACATGTACATGTGTAACATAGGTTCAAGTGTCCCCTCGCGGGAAAGTGAGCATTTACGAGGTGGCCTCGTAGGTCCCCTCTTATAGTGACACTGGTGTATGTTACCTCCCGGTGTTTGTGTGGTCTGCCAGTGTGCCGGCATGTGCCTGTAATGTTCGCCGGTGTCAAGTTTCATTCAGTGTGTGTACCGGGAGTCCTCTTATGGTGTATGGGGGAATTATTAGGGGGAGGGGGAAGGATGTGAGGGTTGCAGAGTTAGTCGTGGGAGTTTGGTCTGTCAGGTGGGGCGTCTGTCTCCAGTCGCGTGGTAAAGTCTGATGTTGCGGTGGAGACGATCCATTGGTACCAAATTCCCAGTTATGTTTCAGTGGCGTTAGTCGCCCCCATGTGCAGTTCTTCTATTGCCCTGAGGTCTTCCATTTGGGTGAACCATGCCCGAAGTGGGGGGGCAGGGGGTCCGTTCTTGTTTCCAGAATTGGGGTATGACCTGTTTGGCTACATTCAAGATTCTGATGGACATGGATTTCTTGTATCGGGACCTAGGAGTGGTCGTGTGGTGTAGGTGTAGAAGCATTGCCGCTGGCTCTAGTGGTGGTGGTGGTGCATCTGAGAATTTCTCTAGGATGTTCTGTATGTCCACCCAAAACGGTTTGATTCTGTCACAGTTCCACCAGAGATGTAGTGTAGTGCCCCTTTCTTTACCGTACCTCCAGCAGAGATCAGAGTGGGACATGTAGTATGTGCGGTACCAGTAGCTCAGCAGTTTAAATGCAGTCTCCTGTGTCCTGCTGAAGACTGAATAGTGATGCGTTAGGTAGCATATTTTTTCCGATTCGTTGTCAGTAAAGGTCCTCCCTAGGGCAGTCTCCCATTTACCGATAAAGGCTGGTAGCTCCGGTCTCCCTTTGTAGCAATGAGTACAGGAATGAGATCCCATGGAGTTGTGGGTCAGGGTGCATTCAGCACTCCTCAAAGGTGGTCGGATTCCTGGTGCAGGCTTGTCCCTTAGTGAGGGTGTCAATGAAATTCGTCAGCTGTTTGTATTTGAAGGTCTGTAGGAATGTAGGGGGCTCCTCTTCTAGCAGGTAGATCAGCCTCTTACGGCCCCTTTGTGTGTGGATATGGTGTAGTCTGGGGTTGGGTGTGTGAAGTATGTCCCTAAAGGCGTTCGGGTCAAGGCCGGGGGGGGAAGTCATGGTTGTGTGCCAGAGGCAATAGAGGTGATGGGTACTGTGTCAACCTGTGTGTCCCGGACACTCTGTGCCAGACTCACAGGGTATGTTGTGCGAATGTGGAACAGCCTTGTCCGATCCTGCTACCGGAGTACCACGGCATCACCGAGGCCGGTCCCCCCGTCCCCGCCTCCTCCACCACCTTCCACAATTTGTGGACGTTGGTCTTGGTCCACTCCATGACTCTTTGGAGATGCCCTGCTATATAATTGAGGTGAAAGTCTGGAATAACCAGACCTCCCTTCTCCTTGGGCAACGTGAGGGCCATGTACTTGATCCTTGGCCTTTTTCCGTTCCATATGTAACGTCCTAATGCTGAACGTAGGGAGGAAAAGAACGCCATAGGGATTGTTATGGGGAGTGTTTGGAACAGATAAAGCAAGCGCAGGAGGAAGTTAATTTTTATGACTTGAATCCTCCCCAGCCACGATATGTGTGGGTAGGACCATTCTGTCAACTCTCGCCGGAACATTGCCAATATGGGGATGAAGTTTTCTCTATAAAGGTCTTCACTCTGTCTGGTCAGCCATGTTCCCAGGTAGCGTATTTTATGTTCCGCCCATTGGAAGGGGAAGCTTAGGCGCAGGGGGGTAGGTCAGTGTTCAGGATGTATGATTTAGAAAAGTTTATTTTCAAATTGGAGATGGCTCTGAATGTTTCAAAGGCTTGAAAGATGTTTGGGAGGGAGATCTCCGGATGGGATACGAAAAAGAGAAGATCGTCCGCGTAGGCGGCCACCTTGTGGTGTGTGTCCCCTGTCTGTATGCCAGTGATGTCACAGTGGTGTCTGATGCCTGTCAGGAAGGGTTTGAGGGCAAGGACAAAGAGCAGTGGGGATAGGGGGCAGCCTTGGCGGGTGCCATTGTGGATAGAGAACTCGTCTGTCAGTGCCCCGTTCACTATTACTTGGACAGTGGGTCTATTGTACATGGCCTCCACCCACTTTTGTATGTGGGGCCCGAGACCAACATGGGTAAGGGTCTGGAATAGATAATCCCATCCCACCCTGTCGAAGGCCTTTTCTGCGTCGGTGGACAGCAGAAGAAGGCCTCCAGTGTCTCCACCCCGTCTGTGCATGAAAGTGAGGGCGCGCATGGTGTTATCGCTCGCCTCGCGGCCCGCCACAACTAGGGGATGTGCTGCTGTAGGCGCATAGCCAGGATCTTTGCCATTAGTGTGATGTCACAATTAATAAGGGAGATGGGTCTGTAGTTTCCACAGTGCTCCCCGTCCTTGCCCTCCTTAGGGATGATGGTTATGTGTGCCGTCAGTGCTTGTTTGAGGAAGTGGTGGCCCTCCCTTACTGCGTTAAATGAGGCCAGCATCGGCGGGTACAGCCGGTCTGCAAAGTGCTTATAGTAGCAGAGTGGCAGTCCGTCTGGGCCGGGACTCCTACCAGGTTTGGTATGTTTTATTGCAAGTGCTAACTCCTCCAGGGAAATGGGTTCGTCCAATTGGTCTGAGACCCCTTTATCTAAGGTTGGCAGCGCATGTCAACAGGTAGTGTTGGATGGAGTCCCTTAGGCGGGTAGTCGCTGCGTCTGTGTGTGGCTATGGGAGTGAGTATAACTCTGCGTAGTAAGTTCTTACTGCTTCCAGGATCTTAGCCGGTAGGCATGGTAATGAGCCCTGTTTGTCCCGTATTTTGTAGATGTAAGTCAGTTGTCTTCGTTTCATCAGCATCCTAGCTAGTAGTTTGCCGCTCTTATTCCTGTGTAGGGAGAAAAAAGCTTTGTGTCGGACCACGTCTCTATGGTGTTTGGAGTGGATCAATGAGGTCAGGTCTCGTCTTAGTTGTAGTAGTTTGGCCTGATGTGATGGGTGTTGTGAGCTCTTGTTTAATGTTTCGTGTTTGTATATGTCGTCTACAATCCCGGTAAGTCTGGCTGCGTTTTGCTTTTTCAGTTCCGCTCCTTTTTGTATAAAATGTTCCCGTATCACGCTCTTGTGTGCCTCCCATCTGATTGTCGGGGAGGTGTCATCAGGTGTGTTGGTGTGGAAGTAGTCGGTGAGAACTTTCCCAAAGTGGTTGGTCAGTTCCTGGCGGGATAGCAAGTATTCATTCAGTCTCCATTTGGAGGTCGCGGGTCTAAGGAGGGGGGATTTAAGGGTTAGAGAGGCGGGGGCATGGTCCGACCAGGTATCCACCCCTATGTCCGCCTTCTTCACTAGGGGAAGGTGATATTGTGTTGTGAAAAAGTAGTCTAAGCGAGTGTATGACTGATGTGAGTGGGAATAAAAAGTGTAATCCCGTTCGTCCGGGTGATGTGCCCTCCAGCAGTCAATGAGTCTGTGTTTGGCCAGCAGGGATTTGATTGAGTTGAGCTGCTGTGTGGGGATGTGGGATGTGTCCGCAGAGCACTCCCAAGTCGGGTCTGTCGCGACATTTAAGTTGCCCCCTATCATGAGGACCCCTTCAGCGAAGGAGTGTAGTTTGTGTAGGGCATGTTTAAGAAAGCAGTGTTGTTTACCGTTCGGTGCATATAGTGTAGCGAAAGTGTAGAGGTGGTCCGCTATTGTGCCCTTTATAAAGAGGTATCTGCCCTCCTTGTCAGTCATTTGTGCTTTTTCAAGGAATGGTACTTTTTTACTGATCAGTATCGCCGTGCCTCTGGATTTCCCCCATGAAAGTCGCTGAAATATCCTAATGGGAAATGATGATTGGTCAGTTTAGGTCTGTCGCCCTCTCGGAAGTGGGTCCCTTGTATCATTACTACTGAGTCCTTTTTTGCATGAAAGTCCCTCATTCCCCCGGTCCTTTTGTCCGGTTTGTTAAGCCACCTAGCGTTTATGGAGAGAATAGTGAGATTGCACGGTATAAGCGACATCTCGGTGTCTGAGATGTATGATGTCTTATTTGCGGTGGGGTAGTCCTGCAAGCACAATTGTAGGGAGGGTTCTGTCACAGGCGTCCGTTCATGAGTAAGTGTCTGGTCAACCCCATCCCCGTCTCCCAAGGTGCCCGTCGCCCAAGTGAGCCCAACCGGTGCCGGCACCCCCACCGCTGCTCCCAATAGGTTCCTCACAAGGTGGCGGGCACTCCGGCAGCACAGGCCCAGTCAGGGCACGTACCCCCCCAGTGTGTCCCGGGATGCCACGAAGGCCTGTTATAAAGCATACGTAAGGCCTGAGGTCGCCTATGTGGGTCCGCACGGGGCGTAATTTAAAGTGCGGGACGGGGTTTACCTCCAGCGGGGTTAGGTAGGGAGCAATACACCTTCAGCTTTAAGAATACCATTTTCTCCCTTCCCCCCCACCTCCATATAGGTATACAATTTAGCCCCGTGGCTTGTGTTACAGTGCCTCTTAGTGTGGAAGGCCATGGTCCCTCAGTCCCAATGAGCAGGTGTCAATACTTGCGGTTAGGCAAGGCGCCCGTGGAGCCGTCCGGTTCAGGCTGCGACCCCTGATTGGCGTATGGTCTGGGCCCGGGGCCTCCACTGCCTGCGGGGTTGTGGTGCCGCTGTTTGAGTCCCAAGGTTGAAGGAGTAAAATGTAATCGGGTCCGGCCAAGTCATACAGATAGGTGGTAGTTGTAGTTCGTTAGTCAGATCTGCCAAGTGCTCCGGGCCTCTCACCATGAAAGGGCCGTTAGGGGTGGAAGCCTGCAGTCCCGTGGGAAAGTTCCAGCAATAGCGTATATTTTTGGATTGCAGGACCCGTGTCAGGGGTTTCAAGGCTCTTCTGTATGCCAAAGTCACTGGGGACAGGTCTGGGTATAGTTTTAAGTGCGTGCCATTTAGTAGGTCTTGATCAGTGTCCCTGGCCTTGTGCAAGATGTCTTCCTTTAACTAAAAACTGGTCCAGGTCCTCAGGTATCCCCCTAATTCTGATGTTCTGACTGTGCCCCCTGTTATCCAGGTCCTCTATGTGTTGTGCTATTTGGTGGAGCTGGGCCTCTTGTAACTGCAGGGTGCCTGTGTTGGCGTTCTGCGCAGAAGCCAGGTGGTCACAGTCTGTCTCTAGCTGGGAGACCTTTTGGTGTAGGCCCTGGAATTCTTCTCGGAGGGAGTGGAGCTCTGTTGTAATGTAGTTTCGGAGCTCTGTGTTTGCCCCCTTAAGGTCTGCTTTAGTGGGTAGTGCCCGTATCAGAGACACCCACTCCGGCGATCCCTCAGAGTGAGAGTGGGCATGTGGTATCCCCGATTGCCGATCTGCGCTTGGAGAGTGTGTACGCGAGGCACACGAGGTCCCAGATTCATTTGAGGCCTGTGATGTCTGGTCCATCTAGGTTATCAGGTATTTGTGAAGCGAGGAAGCCGGAGCCCCCTTAGGTGTGTCTGCGGGCTTACCAGCGTGTGAGGCTTGGTGGGTTTTACCAATTTTGCAGGTTTTGGTAACGTGTGGATGAGGAATTGTGCAAAGCCTACGGGGAGCACACGGTTTAAGTTGCCATGTCTCTCGGCCTTTTCAGCTCGGGTCTTCTTTTTATTTTATAAATTCGATGGGCTTTATGGTTTGGCCTTTTTAGGGGCTGAAAAAAAGATGATTTTAGAAAAAGAAGACTTCAAATGGTAAGTATTTATTTTTATTTACAGGGACTTAGTTTTATTGTCCCCCTCCACTATTTTTAGGGTACGTAGAATTTTTTTTTTTTTTACTTTTTGGCGGGGGTGAATAGTGGCTTGGGGACCCTTAGTCACCCCCCCCCCCCCAGGATTGTTTTGTGGAGGAGAGACACTAACATTTACCCATTTAGTCTAGTGACCCCCACTCGCAATGAGTGCTGCTCACTGTTCAGTAGACATGCCCCCACTCGCGGCATAGCGAGTAGGGGCAGATAAACTACTAATACTAAGTCATTTTTACTTAGTATTAGTAAACTTGGCTGAAAGACCAGTTTTGGCCTTTTAGCCTTGTAGTAGATAGCTCCCTGATACCGTGGGAATTAGGGTAGTATTTACTATGCGGCTGCAAGATGGAGCCACAGCATGAATAGGATCGCAATTTCATTCATTCAAATTAAATTCCAATCCGAACATAAACTACCGAATTCCATTCTAACACGAATGAACAAACTGTTCATTCTGTTAGAAGGAATTTGGTAGTTTCGCTGGCGTCCTATATATATGACAGGATACTGGGGAATAGTGAAAGGAGGCATCGCGAGATCAGGTGAGAATTGTGGGAAAATTTGTTTGACTGCGAGAAGTGGGTCAAAGCTGGTCAAGTGTAGGAAACTTCCATTAGACAAAGTAGTGCCTACTTTGTCTTATGTTTTAAAGAAAACTAGAGCATACAGGAAGACATGAAGAACAGAGAAGTGGAAGCGATTGGGGAAAGGCAAGTTGGGCATGACAGTGCCGCTTTAAGCAGCACTACCCTTACAGCTTAGTGTAGTGGTTTTGTTGCTGTCAGTCTTCATAGGCCATTTGGAAGCAGATTGGCAAATATCTGAACTTTTCACAAGACCCAGAGAACAACTTTTCCTCAACCACAGTGATCATGTGGATGTTGCACTGCTGCATTATCAATGTCTGTCTTTGGTCATATTAGATGACAATAACTGATTGAGATGGGATGGTTAAGTTGTCCCCAGTGTTCTCATCTTCACTTTGATATTGGATGTACATTACAGATTTCACTTTTACACGTTTGAGCTACACTGCTCGAAATAATAACACTCATTCATTTTCCGTTTGTAGCATAATTTCCTTTCTAGCTTAGATTGTGTGTCTTCACTGTTTTTTTTTGTTTGTTTGTTTTCTTTCTTTCATTCTTAATCTCTTAGGCCATACACCAGTTAGCATTTCTTGAAGCTGTATTCATAAGAAATTGCATCTCTTGAAGCAACATTCATAAGAAATTGCATATGAAACAGATGTGGAAATTAGGAAAATATGAAGGCAGAAAAACCCTCAGGCAAGCTCTGCATATCACAGGAGAACCAAATTATCAAAATTTTGTTAGGAAATATATTTTTTTTTCATGATTTGAACTTTTTAAGAATCAACCATTGTTCTCAAATCAGAAAAGCTTGTGATGTGGCATGCAGACCTTTCTGCTTTCACAAGATAAAGTATGGACTGTGCAGATATGCTATCACCCTATAACAAAGACTACTTCATTCTATATTTTGACGCTCTACACATCTTTTGGTGTTTATGTTTAAGCTATCATATTTGTTTACAAATTTTAGACATAATATGAAGGATCTAATATTGTCTTTCCAGAGATTAAGAACAGAAAGGGATTCTCTGAAGGAAACTATTGAAGAGCTCCGATGTGTACAAGCTCAGGAGGGACAACTCACAACATCAGGTAAAACACTAAACTGTATTTGTGTGGGGTTTACTCAATGAACATTATTAAAAGGACACTATAGTCACCAGAACAACTACAGCTTATTGAATTTGTTCTGGTGAGTAGAATCATACCATTCAGGCCTTTTGCTGTAAACACTGTCTTTTCAGAGAAAATGCAGTGTTTACATTACAGCCTAGTGATTACTTCATTGGCCACTCCTCAGATGGCTGCTAGAGCTGCTTCCTATCTCAGTCTTGCCTAGTGTGCATCACAACATAACAGTATCTCCTCCCTCTGCATGCAGACACTGAACTTTCCTCATAGCGATTCATTGATTTAATTTATCTCTATGGGAAGATGCTGATTGGCCAGGGCTGTGTTTGACTTGTGTTGGCTCTGCCCCTGATCAGCCTCCTTCACAGTCTCAGCCAATCCTATGGGGAAGCATTGTGATTGGCGCAGAACAACACTTCTGATGATGTCAGCACACAGCTTGCTATTCTGAATACAAGTAAGAATTTACTATATTTAGGCAGGCAAGAGAGGGCCATGGGGGCTAGATGGTGGTTTTAACACTATAGGGTCAGATATATATATTTGTGTTCCTGACCCTATAGTGCTCCTTTAAGCCAAATGTTGTGACTTTCTAATACTCACAACTGGCTCCTTCAGATAAATATAAGATGGATATAACTGCGGGGTCTTCTTGAGTATTAGCTATAACGCATTACACATTTTAAAAAGCAGGCAAAAGTTTGCATCAGAAGTGTGTCACTGACCACTTAACTGCTCCGACACGAGGTCAGTTGCCATGTTAGGAGACTGCTGCAACAGTAGTATCATTGTAATTATGTTAATGCCCAGAATCTCTGAAAAGGGAATGTGCACCATGATGATAACATTCACCAGTCCAAAGGGGGAAGACAACAGGGTTTTGAGGAGTATTGTCATATGTTGCTGAAATGCCTTCAGATATATTTCCATATTGCAAGCACTGGCAGGGTCCTGAGCATTTTGGCTATTATTTCATCATATATATATGACAGGATGCTGGGCACCAGTGAGAACATTCACTGGTCTCTCCTCAAAGTTTTTATTCCAGACAGGTGTCAAATAGGCATGGTTTGAAAATATTCTAAAATAAGAAGCACCAGCACGGATAACGGATAGTGCATCCATGTGTCATAACTGTTAGGCCTTTCACCCGGAAGCCATTTTTTTCTTAAATATATTTTTCACTTTAATCTGCAGTATGTTCTGGTGAAGTGATATGTGTCATTCTGCACAAATATTACAGAACTGAAATGAGGGACACACTCACTTGTAATGTTATTGCTTTCAGAAATATTTCAAGATAAAGACCAAATAATAAAGTTTTGTATGTGTGCTTGGGTTTCATTTTTTCTTTTTTTTATGAACTACAAACATCAGTCTATGAAAAGCAAAATTCTCGTATTTTTATCAAAATGGGGAAAAAACATTATCTACAAGATTATTTGACTTACAATTATTTTATTGTGGCAATGGAACCTTTTGACCTCCACATGTAAAAGTCCAAGCTCCAAATTAAACCAGTGTGGCTTCTAATTCATGTTCTTTGTTTTGTGTTTGATATCTTTACTGTCCAGATTTGTCTGTTTAATGAAAACGTTTAGCACTGGGGAAAGTTCTGTGGACAGGAGAAAAGCCCTGAAACAGTTTTACAAAAACTGATTTTTAATGGATGTTGGGTAAATGCCATATTGAAAAGACAACACCAATAATGCCACCAGTCTGCAGTATTAAAAAACACCTGTCATGCTCCAAACAATTTATGTTCGTTAGATTGAGCATAGGATTTTATCTCTACATTGTGCTAGCAGTTTTTCTAGCAAATGTATATATTAGGGAAAAAAACGGTTTAAAAATAGTTTTCTCCCAGCTGTCAGTCAATGCCTTGGCGTGCTGACAAGGGAGAGCAGAAAAGACCTTTCATCTCCACCCATAGCACATACCACAGCAGGGCTTCTTGTACTGGTTTGGGAGTGTAGGAACGGAGTGACGTGACGTCACTCTGTGCCAACACTGGCAGGGAAGCCAGCGTGCCAACATCACTGATGAGATTTGCCCTGATTGGGATGTGTGCCAAGCAGAGTAAATCAATGAAGACTTCAGGAGGAGAGCAGGTGTAGCCGAGGATGGCCAAGAGTTAGGTTTTTGGATGAAAAGTAACTCTCATGAAGCAGCGCTGGAAGATTCTTTATATTTTACTTTGCATACACCATGTACCTTTGTGATACATGGTGTATTCAATGTGTTAGGGAGCAATTTCAGGTAAGTTTGTTTTTCTTCATAACAGGTTAATTTTAACTTGAATTATTGCATTTACCTTTTTATTTTTTTGGTTCACACAGGGTTACTGCCATTGAGTAGCCAAGAACCTTCTGACAGCTTAGCCGCAGAAATTGTTACCCCTGAAATAAAGTAAGTAGTTTTTTGGGGGGAAGGGTTGCCAATATATTCTATTATTCTATATTACATTTGGTTGCTTTGCATCAGCTGATGTTTTTAATGATAAATCTAGCAGATTGACCAAAGTAGCAGTTCAGAGAAAAACATTTGGAAATTCTTTAATTTATCTGACATAAATGAGTTCAAAATTCTTTGACTTTTTGCCCTGCCTTCCCTTTTACATGTACATTTTTTGCAATATACCTTTCTATGCTGGTAATGTAGAGGTCTATGGCAACATTCAATTGAGAGGGAGATTCTCTCAATCCTTCTGTAGGGGATTCTCCTTCTTTGTCACAGTGATATTCACCCAGCTACTGTTTCTCACACTTGCAGAGGGAGTATAGGACACCCTTGACAGTGAAGTCAGCATGGCTGTGTCATCTGATATGATAGTCCTGCATGCGGAGTATCAAAAAAAAGGGATAATCTCTGTGCAGAGAGAGCATGACCAAGAAGGGCCAGTGTGTGTATGTTGTCGTAGGGAAACCCTGAAGGAACCTCTGCCAATGGCATCACAGAATCATTGATTAGTTATTTATTTTTTGCTTTGAGAGCCATTATAATTTAGTTAAATCTGTCATTTAAGGTTTTCTTTAAGTAGGTTTCTATTTTAAAGTTGTATCTGAAAATATTTTAAACTGTGGCTTTTTGCCTCATTCTCTGGATGCCATGATCTTAATATGGAAGTAACATATCTCATTTCTTGACTTAATGGAAAACTGTAGTGTCAGAAATACAAGCATATATTCCTGACTCTATAGTTTTGAAACCACCATTTAGGTTACCACCGCACCGCCCGCCCACCCATGTCCCTTGTTAAAAACATGTAAAACCCACTTTTTTCCAGTGCAGGTTTGCCCTTACCCCGCCACCTTAGCTGTGATAATTAAAATCCTATGGGAAAGCATTGGGAAGCTATTGCGCATGCATGGCAAAACCACATTGTGCAGCATTGACCCAGGAAGCACCTCTAGTAACTGTATGAGTGACTGCCACTAGAGGTGTGCCAGACAGGAGAAAAAAGCCCGCAGGGACAGGCAGTAGGCAGCAGAACAACTTCATTATGCTGTTGTTGTTCTGGTGACTATAGTGTCCCTTTAACTGTTAAAATAGCTATGTTCTCTTATACCTTGTATAACATAAATTTAATTTGGAAATGTAAAGCTATTCAATGATGTTTATAGGTTGTGTTTTTATTCCCCCTTTAGGGAGAAACTTATCCGTCTTCAACATGAAAATAAGATGTTAAAAATTAATCAAGAAGGATCAGATAATGAAAAAATATCACTTTTACAAAGTTTACTAGACGATGCAAACATGCGCAAAAATGAGTTGGAGACAGAGAACCGGTATTTTACCTTTAAGAGATTATTTTAAATTCTCATAACCCAGTATACTTTTTAACCATTGTTGCTTGAAGGCGTGACAGATAATCCACTGTATTATTTTTTTTATTTTTTTTGTAGACTGGTAAACCAGAGGCTATTGGAAGTCCAGTCTCAAGTAGAAGAACTTCAGAAATCCTTACAAGAACAAGGCGCAAAAGCTGAGGATGTAAATAATCTAATACATTTTTGCATTACACAGATTTATTTTCCCAAATGAGATGTGGGGATACAATGGCATACATCTCCCCTTTCCCTTTAGAGGAAGGATCTATAGGTGAAGGGAAAATGCATTATTGCATTGTATTACATTATTATTTGTGCATTATTAGATATTTTGCATTTGTGCTCCTTAACAGCTTTGCCTTTGGTTTCATTTACTTAAATCTGGTACTCGTGACAACCCCCTCTTTGCAATACTAATTTAACAAAAGTACCCTGTCCTGTACATACTCTTCCATTGGTCCTTAACATAGATGAGTCAGATTTAAAAAAAAAAATAATAAAAAAATTGTAGTAAAATATTTACTTAGAGGTGCCCAGGCAAGATATTAGAGAGAAATAAATCTGTAAAGTATCCCCTAAAATTATAACTGCAAAACAGATCATTAGAAAATTTCAATAGTTAAACAGAATTTTTTATTTTTTTTATTTTTTAATTAGTGCTATAAAATGTAAAAGAAAACACAATACATATAATCGTACAGGCTGAAGTTACTGCTGGTGTCTGCCAAGTAATAAAAAAATTAGCCGAAGCTCATTAAGGCTTTGTTTAAAAGCCATATATTACTAATTTGGAAAGCTTTACTTTGCCTTATACCTCTGGACTTTCTGTGAGCCTCTTACAATAACAGAAATATAAAACACATTTTAGGGTTATGTGGTTTTTTTTTTAATATGGAATCAGTAGAGCATAGATGAGGTTTAATACTTCATTGATTTAAATTATGGATCAGCAAATCTTTAATACTTCCTGAAAGTGATACGCCTTTAGAGCCAGAATTAAAGGGTCGAGATAGGTGGAATTACCAACAAGATAAAGGTAAATAATATTGACACAAAACATCCGTCTATGCACAATTTTTTTCTCCTCTTTTTATCACAGTGGGAAAAAAATCTTCTTGATTATTAATTTTCTACTGGCAATGTCAAGTAGATTTGATGCCAAGATTCTTTGATGGTATAACATTTTGCTCTTACATGGTCATTCCTGCTTCTGTTTTGTTGCTTATGTTTGTGGCAAGAAATATTAATTTATAGATCTATACCCCGGTTTATCCATACAATATAATTGTTCTGTTTGAGCATCTCTTCTTGCTGTTTGGTTACGGGCTCCTGCTTCCAGGCCAAGTGAGCCAGGCTTACAGAAGCCCAAACTCATAAACAATCATATGACTTTGATGCCAAAGCTTGGTTTAACAACCCTTGCTGTTTCTGACATGGCTGTGCATCTTTCTTTCTGAAGTCTACCCCATAGCTTGTTGAATTAAACATTTTTCAACATACTGTTAGAAGAAAGCAAAACACCCTTGTTCATTTCTTCATGTTCTTTAATGCTTATTTTGTGACCTTTTCATGCCTTTGTTAACCCGGTTTCCTTTTTCTTGCTCTTTTTACTAATGCTTCTGTTTGTTGGCTTGGTTTTGCAAGGCCATTGTGAGTATAGTTTAATTGCCTTTTGTTTTTTCGTTGTGTGTTTTTTTTTGTTTTGTTTTTTAAATATATTACTTTCTTTCTACTATGCCATAATTTAACCTATTTTGTTTAATAGGGAACTGTCACTTCCCAGGATTTTTAATATTGTGTTTACTTATCCCTATAATTAAAAACCATGCATTTGTGATGTGTAAAAATTAAATATAAATGTAGAAATCCACACCTCTATATCCTGCAACTGAGCTTCTCTCGAGACTAGGTTCTCGGTCACGCCACCCCACTGTTTGCCTTAAAAATTGAGATGAAGTGTTCTGAGTGACTGTAGTATTCCCTTTTAATATAAACTTAAAAGCATTTCGTGAAATTTTTTTACCATAAGTGATTTTCAATGTTTTTGTACAACGGTATAAATTTATAAAGAAGTGACCATTCCCTCTTTAACACGTGCAGAAGTCCAATCGGAGATGGTGCTTCAAAACATACTGTAGTATCTTTATACAGTGAAGACATTATGTATCATGCAGTAGATTTTTAATATGATAGTTGTAATAAATAACAGATTGATTGGTCATCAGTCGCTGTTAGTATGGTATTGCAAAATGGCACATTATAATAAAAGAAATCTTACTTGTATAACGCCAACTTTTCTGCAGATCTTTAGCGTTTTACAGTAGGGTTTTAGAGACAAATGACAGAAGGCATATGAGGTCCTGCCCAAATGCACATATGTAGAAATATGGTCCTGTTTGAGTGCACCATGCATCAAAATACACTTTACACTGCACTTGTTTTTTGTTTGTTTGTTTTTTTAGCATTTTAACAGTTGTTAGAAGGAAATCATTACATTTTGTAAGGAATAATTTCTGTTCCTCTCCTGAAGCTAGATGGAATTTCCAAAATGAATTTAAAGCAGATTGTAAGGTTTAGATTCACTGTGTTCAATTTTTGTATGCTCAATTGTGTATGAAGATCATACTTTTTTTTTCCTTTCTTTCCTATGTAGTCAATTCTTTTGAAGAAGAAGCTTGAAGAACATCTGTGAGTACTGTTTATTTTAGATGGACTTTTCAGAATTTTGTTTTTGCCCTGTTAACCAAAGTTAAAGCATACCATGGGCACTAAAATTACTTTAGCTTAAAGTGGCACTGTTAACCCTCAGAAAAATTTGATAGCATCTTTCTCAAATATTCAAATTTATTGTGTTGGAATTTCACTGAAATTCCAACCCAGTCAGGAGATATACTGAGACAAAGTAGTTCCTACTTTGTTTCAGTATTTTTCCTACGCATGACACTTCTAGACACTTGCCGGATCTACCACAGTCTAGAAGTGTCAGTCCCTTCACCCGTCACCAGTGACTGCTGCAGGGAATTAGCATTACCTATGGAGGCTTCAGTGGTCTTGCAAGACCCTCCATAGACATCCATGCTCTACTCTCGTGAATGTGCGAGACTACAGCAGTGACGTTAACTCCTGGCACTAAAGAGCCAGGAGCTAAAGGGGACATGCCAGAAGAAGATTGCGGTGCCTGCAAGGGACAGGTTCAGATATTTTCCATACCCCTCCAGTTCACAGCTCAAGTCTCTGTCATTTAGGAGTTAAATCACTCGTATTTTTGTTCATGCAGCCCTAGCCACACTTCCCCTGGATGTGACTGACACAGTCTGCATTAAAAAATGTTAAATTTTCAGTCAAATGTTAACTTGCTTTAGAAGCTTTTAGCTCCTGCTCTGTGAATTGAACTTGAATCACACACAGGAGACTTCTGCAGGGTCTATTAACAGAGCAGGAGATAAGAAATGATAAATTAGACACAATGTGCAGTAAAGGAAATTTAAACATTTGATCTCTCTTTACAGGAAGTGTTTAGAAAGACTGTGCAAGTCACATGCAGGGAGTTGTGACTAGAGCTACATAAACAAAGTGATTTATCTCCTAAATGGCAGATAATTGAACAATACCACAGAATTTGTAAATAAATTTAAAAAAAATTGTTTGTTTTGTTCAGCAATATTTTTCTTGGCAATTGTTTTTGTTAACATTGCACTCTTTCAGTGTTGTTTTCATTGTAATCATGGTATTCTTGTTAACATAACTGTTATATGTTTGTCTTTGCAAACAGGGAAAAGCTTCATGAAGCCAACAATGAACTACAGAAAAAACGTGCAATTATTGAAGATCTGGAACCGAGATATAACAATAGCTGTATGTTTATTTCACTTTCACATCGTTTACTGTTAATATGCACACAAAATAGTTACATTAAGGATGAGAACTAAGTAAACCACTTGAAAAATATAAAATAAGAAAATAAAACCTCTTAAACGTCTATTTGTGTATATATTTTATGGGTGCACAGAAAAGGTCCTCTTGTGCAAAATCCAAGAAACTGATAAATAGATGTTCTTTCCCAACCAATTGGTGATCCAGAAATGATCCAAGAGTCTTCTATCATTATGACCTTATTACCAGTACTTGTAACACTTGACACTTGTACTACCTGGATAAAGCTACAAGTTATGAGCTTGAAACAACAGGTTGACCTCTACATACTTGTTCCCCAGAGTCCACTGATGTTAAATACATGTGTAGTGAATTGAAAATGTAGGAATGATGCAGGTATGTCTTATCTCATGTAGAGACTAGTTCCTCAAGCAGCTAACACACATTGGCCAAAAGCAGTAATCTTCTACTAACACTTTGACATGTAGCATATTCTGTATCCGGTTTTATATTATTATTTTTTTTATAATGCAAAGGTGCTATTTGTATGTCCCTGAGATTCTTAAAGTATCATTGTCACTTGTGGAGCATTTTTTGCAAATCCCTCCGAAGAAGTAATGTCAATAATTAAGGTGGCTTATTTCCTTTACTCTGTGACAACTGATAGTAACAAGCGTGCATAATAAACAATAGATGCCGGTGGCATCTCACTGAGCAAATGCAAAATCCTAAGGTTTAACAATAGGAGATCTATGTACAGTCTTGATGTGTACATGCAACAAGATATTTATTTACATTGATATTACACTTTTTTTGTTTTTAAAAGATTTTTTTTTTTTTATTAAATCCATGAGCCCATTTGTAAGGTTTTCAGAATGATTTTATTTTTCCGAATAACACAGAAGTTAAACTGCCACTACCCAGTTAACAATATATTTTTTGGATGCTCTGAGATGCCTTAAATTAAAATAAAGAATTTACTTATCCTCTTTAGCTATTATTTGAGTCTATCACTAATTAACTCCTTCATTCTTTAATTTATCGAAGTGATTGTTTTGAATAACACAAAGTGTGTGTAAAATGTTTACCTAACAGCAAGTGTTCTTTGTTAAATACCACTAGCTTCTTAATGTTAACTGTGCGATTAAAAACAACTTGCTTGCTGTTTTGAACAACTTTTGTGAGAGTAATGTTGGTGTTTTTCTTCTTTCGTAATCAAGCACTGAAAATTGAAGAATTGCAAGATGCTTTGCGTAGGAAAGATGATGATATGAAACACATGGAAGAGCGCTACAAAAGATATCTAGAAAAAGCAAAAAGTGTAAGTTATGTTTTTTTAGAAAGGTAATACATTAAATAGGGCAGGGTGTTGGCCTCAATAAAAAAGGGTGCCCTATTTAAACACTGAGCTGCTCATTTTTTATTTTCCTTGGCTTCATTAAAAACTGTATTGTCTTCAGGTACTTGACCCTTGGCTTATCATTCTGACCCTTTACTTCCTAGATTTAGTAACGTGGACTGTGTGACTACACTACCTGGATTGTCATTGCTTTGTTTGCCTTGGACTTTCTTTTTGTGTATTATTCTCAGCAATTTACTGCTTTTTTGGTTCCCACCTGCTACACCCCCTGACAAATGAAACCCGTAAATACCAATCCTTTATTTACGTCTTATGGACCCAGAGACTCTATTAACTCTAACGCCTGGCTTTCAGTAGGCTAATAGCCACTGCAATATGGCTTCTATCTGCTGATTTCTCAGTTCCCCTCATCAGATCATAGAAACAAGAAAATCGGGGGGATGGGTCTGCGCCAATGTGTACAGTAAATAATAGTATAGAGTCCAATAGGATCTGTATTGTCGTTTCCAAGGTTCTACTTTTAACGATATCCAGAAGGTGTCGGTGGCGTGAAGAGTAATCCAAATGTATGAAAATAGAAGAGACCTTACTTACAATTTGCAGAGCTTAATCCAGCTCTGGTGTGAATGGCTTACAGCGGTGTTATCCCCGCTTGCAGGATATGCGGCAAGTGTCTTCTTCTTTGCGATAACGGGTATCCAGGTTGGAAGATATAAAATGGAGACAGTAATAGTGCAGTATGTTCCACACGTATGATAAAAGTTATAAAATATAATAGATACACTCACATTCGGTAGAGCTTTGACTAGCTCTAGTTGGTTAGGCGTACAGCGTTATCATCCCCGCTTGTAGGATATAGGGTGAGTGATCTTGACGAAAATATCAGGAGCTCGGAGAGAAGATAAAACAGCGATAGTGCTCTCAATAAAATTTGGATAATAGAACGAAATAATAAAATATACTCACAATATATAGGGCAGGCTGACTGCTCTATGTAACAGCGTAGGTGGTATAATCCCCACCTGTGATTCTTTGGAGTATAGTATGCAGGAGTTAAAAATAATAAAAGAATATAATAGTATAAAATGTATATAAAACGTATATAAAAGGCCAGGTAATAAAAAAAAAGGAGAAAAGATGATGGTTTAAACGTAAAAATGACCAAAATCTTTTTATTAACAATGTATAAAACAGTAAAAAGTATCCAAACTCGTTTCGCCAGTATGAGGCTTTATCAATGAATAGCAAAACAACAAGATTAAAGGGACACTGTAGGCACCCAGACCACTTCAGCTCATTGAAGTGGTCTGGGTGCAGTGCCCCTATCCCCTTAACCTTGCATTTGTAATGATTGCAGTTTTTGAGAAACTGCTAAAAAAAAAATGCTATCCATTGATAAAGCCTTATACTGGCGAAACGCGTTTGGATACTTTTTACTGTTTTATACATTGTTAATAAAAAGATTTTGGTCATTTTTACGTTTAAACCATCATCTTTTCTCCTTTTTTTATTACCTGGCCTTTTATATACGTTTTATATACATTTTATACTATTATATTCTTTTATTATTTTTAACTCCTGCATACTATACTCCAAAGAATCCCAGGTGGGGATTATACCACCTACGCTGTTACATAGAGCAGTCAGCCTGCCCTATATATTGTGAGTATATTTATCCCTGCAAGCGGGGATAACACCGCTGTAAGCCATTCACACGAGAGCTGGATTAAGCTCTGCAAATTGTAAGTAAGATCTCTTCTATTTTCATACATTTGGATTACTCTTCACGCCACCGACACCTTCTGGATATCGTTAAAAGTAGAACCTTGGAAACGACAATACAGGTCCTATTGGACTCTATACTATTATTTACTGTACACATTGGCGCAGACCCATCCCCCCTATTTTCTTGTTTCTACTATTTGATTTGCAGGGACATTAGAGGGAGTCCTTGTTTCGGACTGCTGCCTTCCTGATTAGCGCTGACTCTACCCCCTGTTCTGTTACCCCTCATCAGATCATCTGAGTGGAACTGCTTCTTGGGCCTGAAATGTATATTATTTACTAAAGGTTATTTACCTCTGAATGTTTGCTGGTTTCTCTTGTGCACTGATCTTCTTTCTGGCCTGTCTTTTGAAACAAAAAACTCTCCCATATCTATTAGCTACTCCCTGACATACATTTGCTTTTATTGGGAGAATTATTGAACTTAATCTTCGTACAGTTCATAGTGAAGTATGTTGGCTAAAAATATACCTTTGCATTTTGTTCTTTCTTTATAGGTTATTCGCACATTGGATCCAAAGCAGAATCAAGGGACGGGCCCAGAGATACAAGCTTTAAAGAGCCAACTGCAGGAAAGGGATAAGATGTTCATTTCTTTAGAGGTAAGGATAACTTTTAGAAATAACATTGGCCCAAACCACAATTTTTGTTTTATGATTTCTACAGCCCATGGCTTGTTGTAACTGTGTTCACATCTGAACCTGAACCTTATTGCAAAAACTTTTATTCACTAAATGTGCAATCATCCCAAAACCTGGCATGTCTTAGTTTATGTATCTTCATATTCCCTTTACTTTTATATTCCAGTACAAATGGGTCCTGCTGTCGGGACAGACTCTATTAAATCAGGGCCCTTGATAATTGGTATAAAATAATATATGCAACTGGAGTTCATAGAACCACTTTCAATATATTTTATGGAAGTTGCCTTACCCATCCAAACCGCTGAGCGGGACCTCATGTCCTATTCCTGCAATGACATAAGAAAATGTATGCCTCACTTCCCCAACAGAAACGTTAAAGGGATACCTCAACCAACTTTAATGAATAGAACATAGTAAATATGGAAACCTGCCTCTCTTTAGCTAGGTCTAATTTTGATGTTGCATGTATAAATCAGAAAATCACATCTCTTAACAAGAAAATGAAATTTGGTATTGTTGTATACCTTTTGTAGAAAGAATTTGAGAAAACAAAGACACAAAGAGACCAAGAAGAGAAATTGATTGTTAGCGCTTGGTACAATATGGTAAGATCTATTAAAAAAAGAAATCTTTTTATATAAGGTACGCAGGATAATATTAAAAATTATAGTACAGTAGAGCTTTGACCCATCTTTCTTCATTGCAATCCCTCACCTGCGTTGCCTAACCACTAGGAAGTGCATCTAGTTGCTAACTGATTGACAGCTACTAGAGGCAATCTTAACCCAGCAAGGTAAATTTAGCAGTTTCTCAAAAACTGCAATCATTACAAATGCAAGGTTAAGGGGATAGGGGCACTGCACCCAGACCACTTCAATGAGCTGAAGTGGTCTGGGTGCCTACATTGTCCTTTTAATCTTGTTGTTAAATTAAGACGTCTGTAAGGCCATCTTTATGTGTGCTTTAGAAAATCTAAAAATCTGAGAATTTCAAAGGGGGAAAAAAGCACAGCTAATGTTGAAATATTCGTTTATTTCTTAAACCTTCTTTAAGTAGATTTCCTTTCTTATTTCTACATAGCATACATATGATCATACTCTTTTTCTTTCTTTTTTTTTTTTTTTAATGATTAATGAATAGTTTTAAGGTATTTGCTTCCACAATTAAACAAATGAACAATAGAGCATTTGCTTAAAAGGCATGGAATCATAATCCTTTTTTGTTTTATGTTGTTGCTGTGTTTTTTAAATTTTTCTATTTAATTAACTTTTTTACTTGTTTATCTGTAGGGTATGGCATTGCATAAAAAGGCTGCAGAAGACAGACTTGCAAATACAGGCTCTGGACAGTCATTCCTGGCCAGGCAAAGACAAGCAACAAGCACGCGGAGGTCTTACCCAGGTCACGTCCAGCCAGCCACAGCGAGGTAGAAGAGTCTTGTGCAAGGGAATCTACAACATAACCTTGTGTTGCACATGACAGCATTTCAGGAAATGTAACCAATGTGCTTTTATTTGTTTGATCTGTTTTTTTAATACAGATTTTGTTTGTCTTTTCTATACCTTTTACATGTCCAATTTTTAATGTGCCAAAAATATCCTATGCACCCTCACAAGGATATATCATTTTTTTTTTTTTTTTTTTTAATGCTAAACTTTTAAGTCCTTCATTTGAAATGTAAAAAAACTTTTTTTTTTACCAAAATCTGGGGATGAAAAAAGAAATTAACTGGTCACAATACTGCGTTGTATGAAAGGAATGTGCTAGAATGTGTTACACCAACACATAAAGGGGTGTAGTACATATATTTGTAGTCTGGATAAACCTCAAAACTGTCTCAGCACTAGGTCAGCCAAGAATTGCTGTTAAGTAATGACATCTGCGTCAACTTGGTTTCTACATAAATGCAAGCATGTGATTGATTACCTTCTGTCAGTTTGTATGTTGTGAAAGCACGGCTCCGATGGATCTAGACATAAATAATGAAATTGAAATGGACTTTCAGGAATATGTACATAAACAGGGATTCAAATGAAGATCCTCTCTGTACATTGGTGATATTTGGTAGAGCTGTTGGTGTGTTGATGCAGCCGACGTGATAAGGACATATTGACCACTCACAGCAGGCAGAGAACTACAGCAAAGTGCCTCTTTTTGCTGCGTATTCTGTTAACGTAATTATGGCTTGTATTGTGGAGAAGCAAAAAACTTTTTTTTTTTTTAAAAGAAATTGTGACTCAGGTTGGTTTGTCAACATGCTCATGTGATTCCTTAAAAGAATATTTGATTGCTCCTAAAATAAAAGGCAGTGGGCAGGGATAGCTGCCTTGCCATGCAGTGATTTTATTTTTACCATATTTTCTTTCTTTTGGTCACACAAAGTGAATGTAGAACTGTTGCATTATAAATGTTTTTAAATGTAGTCTGTCAAGTGCAAATGAATGATGACGTAGCACTTTAAAATGCTTGTTTTGTTTTTTTATACATGGATATCTGTATGTCAAGGTGTTTTTCACTTGTTACTTCGTACAGGGGATTAGGTGACGTTAAGAGTTGGACAGGGTAGTGAAATGTATCAATGAGCATTGTGTCAAAATATATAACGCAAGAGGGTTTTTGGTTTTCAGTCAATTTCACAATTCCAAGCACTAGCAAATGTTGTTTACCACAGAAGGTATATCTCAACTATACATTTTAACTGGTAATTGATTATAACTTTTTTCCCCTTTAACTTTTGAATAAAGCCTCTCCGTGTTCTAGGTTTTTGATTTACAAATCCTATTTTTTTTTTTTTTTTTTATCTGGAACTTTAACTCATAAAACTGTAATGGAGCAACTGAACAAAATGTCATGCAGCAAATGCATAGTTTGCATGTTTTATGTATTTATTTTCATGTTTTTAACCTGGTGCTGTTGGCTTTCATGCTATGACTGCTGAGGAAGCCATTTTAATTCACCGTGTGTCCAAATGGTGGGTACTGCATCGCACCGATTAATTTTGAATTAATTTTTATTTTTTTATACCTTCATTGACTCTAATATTGTTATCCCTACTTTTGATTACAAGTTTATTTTAAAGTTGTCAAATATGTTTTGAGAAATTGATCATTTAAATAAATGTCACTAAAATCTGTGGACCTATCTTAAATCTACAAACCTCAATGGAGCTACGATAGCCTTGCCATATATATATATATATATATATATATATATATGTGTGTGTGTGTGTAATATAGTGTAGATTGGATTAGCGATATTTCAGTAGATCTAAATTTTTGATATATATATATATATATAAAGTTCCAATTGCTTGCACTCCTGGATTAATAGTAAAAAGCCCGGTGCTTAACAGCCAAATAATAAAAATAAAGTAATGATAGCACTCCAAGGACTTTGAAAATATTGTGAAAAAACTTAGCTTTTATTCAGGCATCTGCCACAGAAGATCAACGTTTCAGTTCTCTAAGGAACTTACGAAAGTTCCTTAGAGAACTGAAACGTTGATCTTCTGTGGTAGATGCCTGAATAAAAGCTAATTTTTTTTCACAATATTTTCAAAGTCCTTGGAGTGCTATCATTACTTTATTTATATATATATATATATTTATTTATTTGCAATGCGGTCTTCCTGAAATAGCGTTTTGCTCTTATTCTACACAAAGGGATAAAACCAGACCAATTTGGTCTTCCTATATAAAAATCTAAATCTGTAATTTGAAGGGAAACAATGGTAACAAGTGTTACTTTGCTTATGTACATAAATTATTTAAGGCCATGTGGCACGAATGTTATAAAATGTTAATTTACTAAAAATCTTAATTCACCTTTAGTTATTGCTTCCCTTTAGCCAGTGGAGGTTACTTCTCCTGCTCTGCTTACACAGGTTTGCACTCATTAAAAGTAACTGTTGGTTTTCTGAAGAAAAATCTGCATAAACCTGTATGATATAATCAATACTGCTAATTACAGAATATTATTAAATTATACCCAAAGCCAGGGGGACATACATAGATGACAATTTGGCCTTATATTGTATCTTGTGCTAGAAAGGTCTTTTCTATTGTCAACTAATTTAGAGACTTTCACCAATTTTGACTTGACTGGTATGATATTTTTATTTAATGGATCACTAAAGGGTGAAGAACACAAACATGTATTCCTGACCCTATAGTGCTAAACCCACCATATAGGTGGCTTGCCCCCCCTTAACCGCCCTATAAAAGTATAAAACTCACCTTATTTCCAGCGCTGTGCAGGTCTGCTGGTGCTGGCTCCGCCACCTTTGTGACATCATCAAAATGGCTGGTTTTTAGCCAATCCAATGCTTTCCCATAGGGAAAAGCATTGGATTGGCTCAAATCGCCACAGGGGTGGGGCAAAATGCTTTTTTGGCCAGTCAGGACATCCTCATAGAGATGCATTGAATCAATGCATCTCTATAAGGGAAAATTCAGCGCCTCTATGCAGAGCGTGGGGATGCCAAACGGCAGGGCTGCTTACTGTGCAGCCCTTAGCCAGGAAACCCCTCAAGTGGCCATCTAAAGAGTGTCCACTTGGAGGTGTCCCTAGAGGCAATGTAAACACTGCCTTTTCTCTGAAGATGCCTGAAGGGAGCTATTATACTCACCAGAACAACTACATTAAGCTGTAGTTGTTCTGGTGACAATAGTGTCCTGTTAAGACCCATGGAAAAAGGGGCTAAGGTCAACTGTATGCGTGGAGTGGCTGAAGGTAGATGTTGCTGTGTTCTGTAAGGACTACCAATAATCTAGTTTAATAGAGCCTGACCATTATTTTTTGTTCACTATGAATTGGCTGCAATCCTACTACTCAAATTCCACTTTCAGCTTAAACTTGAGTGCTCTAAAGGATTTTAGATTTTATCAAACTGTTGCTCTAAATAAACCAGTTCCTTCTTTTCACCTGCATTGCTCCAGATGCAGATACTGCCATTGATGCCAAATGGATTCATACTATAGAAACACCTATTGCTCTTGGTAAACAGACTGAACCCCCTTGTTGCATTTGTATTAACCACTTGTAGGTAGAATTAATGTTTACGATCAACTTGATATGAATTAAAGGACACTGCTAACTCAATCACTAACATTTTAACAGAGTGAATGCTGAAAACTGCACGCTTGCCTACTGCTTACAGTTGTTGCTTAAAACATACAAGTTTTGCACTGATCATAAATAGTGTAATGTGTTGTGAAACATATTCTGCTCAACAACATGGGTTGGTGTTTGTTGTAGTAGCATGCAATACGGGGAAAGTGTGGGCTTGTAGATGTTATTGCATAATTTAGAAGAACATTGATATGATCACTTAAACCAGTTTTGTTCCACCACCAATACCAATTTCAACACCAGATGTTTGAGGATGCCAAGGTTGAGATGTGAAAGGAGTTGATGCAGCACATTCTGAAGGGAACAAGAAATAAATCTTGACATAGCATATTCTTTAAAGGGACACTCCACTGCACAAATACAAAATAAATAAATCCCTGTTTAGAAGATATACCTCAAAGGAAAACCTGAATGTGTTTAATTATGCGTTTTTTGTTTTTTTCCATTGGAGTTATATCTATAAACAGCTTACAAAAACGTCAGATCTCTAGTCTGCTGCCTTTGCCAGGTCGTCTCCTTTTAACCACGCCCAGATTTTCTGTGGCTGTCCAATCACAGACTGCCCAGTGTAGCTCAATAAGAAGTCTTTGCAAGGCAGGTGCTCTGGGCAATTGCTGCCTCTTGTGTTTAGTGCAAATAAGCTAACCAAACCAGGATGTGACAGGACCAGCTGTCTGCTTGAAAAGCCGGGGGGCTTTTTTAAGAATGTGGTCCAATAAATAGACAATGCAGATTTTGACAATTGTAGTTGGCTGTGGTTCGGAGTTCTCCATTACATGGGAATCTGTAGGCCTATTTAAATTTCTGTAGTCAGTAAGATTTAACTAAAAGGAACACTCTGGGCTATTATCGAATTCAATACAGAGGATCAGAGAGATCTTACACTGGAAAACAGTCTTTGGGGTCAAACTGTTCGAGAATGGTTTAACCCCTGAAGGTGATCCAGCGCCAAAGGCCTCATGGCACCATAACTTAATTCAATGTTGTTATGGTGCCCAAACTGGTCCTTGAATCAAGATTTTTAAATGTAAAGAGACTTTCTTGCTGGTTGTTACCTTTAATATTTGCAATGAGGTGAGGATTTCTTATTTAGAATAATAACTTTCCAGGATAGTTTTACAGTGCTATCAGGACTAATTGTGTTATATATCATTAGAAAATTCATAGATAATGATGAAATTATTCCAAGGTGAACTAATAGGCTTATCACTCCTGTTTGGAGAACAACTTGAATTAAAGGTGTAAATTATGTGTGCATAGATTTGCAGAATAACAATGGGATTAAGGTATTTGTAGGTTTATTTTATATGTTCTCTCTGCAGACACAAGTTCAATTAACTTGGATAGATGGAATTCATTTACCAAGAATGTAAATATTGTATGCATATACAGCCTCATGCTGCATATCTAATCTATATTTCATACTGAACAACCTTTGGACTATAGTGCATCTTAAAAAGAAAACAATCTATATATAGATCTTTCCTACCAAAGCATTTTATTCAAAGAAATCAGATTCAAATCAAAACAGATTTTTATTAAAATTTAAATCCGCAATGTTTTTTTAAATTTTATCCATCATGCTTGCTGATAACGCCTTGTTTAGAACTTGAGTAATACCAAGCCCCATGTTCATGTTCAAAATGTTTTTTACTCTAAAGCAGAAATAAACTGTGCTGAAAAGACTGAACACTCTGTTAGAAATATATTTAAATATATATATATATGTAATTTCCGTGTTCTTTTAAACTTTTTATTCTGCACCACGCCGTTCTCGACAGCCACTTTTTCCCCTGTGAGAGCTTAATTCTGATTATCTATAGTCTAATCCAAAGCTTCTCTTAGGAAAGCCCTGGGGAACTACACACATGTTGATGTTTCTCACAGAGAAGTATGATTTCACTATGGGAATAATTAGCATAGTTCAGTATTTTCACACCCAGCATTATGATGTTGAAGTTGAATAACTTCAGTTTTTGAAGGTCTTAATGTGGAAGTGCCTCTAAGTACTGTCTTTAAGATAGTCACTAGAGGTGTGTTCTCAAACAAATGTAAACATTGATGATTCTCAGAAACCTCAATATTTCTATTTGTCATACTGCAGGGTCTAGGTCTTTGTACCAAAACCACTACATTAAATACATTGAAAGACCTTTAACCTGTTTGAGTTTAACTTTAGGGGATAGTGTATTGGAGATCATTCCATGTGTCGGGCAGATTCTGTGACAATTTGTTTTTGTTCTTTAGGGCATGTCATAAATCTGGTGACACAGACAATGGTTTAGGATATGGGATGCTACTCGAATCTTTGTGATGTATAACATGCTATTTTAATTTCATTTGTGGCTTTTCTACTTAAATCATAGTAACTTACAAAAGTAAAAATAATATATATATATATATATATATATACCCAGAGAACCTTCTTATACAGCCCTCACAGATTTTATCAAAACCTCTTCAAATACTTGCAGACAACCTCACTTTAATTTAAAAATTTCTAGCTTGTATACTAAATCGTTTCACATCATCTACCAATAAGAAAAAGGAAGAAATAGGCATATTGTGTAGAATTGAATTGTCCATTCAGAATCCCCCTCTTCCAACTTCAACACATATTAGATAAATTAGATAATTTGGGAACATTTTAGTATTTGGACATTTTCCAGTTTTGTTCCAGTGGGAGTACTGTCAAATCCCAGTTGAGTATTTTAGGGACTGTGAATAGTACCACTGATCTATAAAGCAGTAAGAATTGTTGCCCTGTGTATTGCAGATATGTACATATCTGTTTATCATCATATCATCCCCAAACTATATTTTGTGAGAGCGTGTTATTGACTTTGGAGGGTAGTCATACAATCTACAAATTTTAATGCTTTCCATTATACATGTACATTTCAACACAATATTTACTTAAAGGACAACTGTTGCCTCAAATTTATTTTTTATATATCATAATCCTTTCATCAAGTTTTGAAATAAAATAGATTTTTTTTAAATTAAGTATATGCAATAAAATGAAAAACTTATTCTTACCTTTATTATATGGATTCTTCAGCCATGTATATACACATTGGGTCAGGCAGTTTTTAAAAACAGACAGTCTCTATGGTTTTTCCTGCTTCACTCCCTGCACACAAACAGCGAAAACCAAAGAGACTGTTGGTTTTCAAACACCGTCTGACTCAGGATATGAAGAATCCTGTTATATACTCAAGGTTGGGATTAGGTTTTCTCATTTCCTTTACATATACTTGATTTAAAAAAAATATATTTCCTTTTCAAATTTGAAGAGAAGATTATTATATTGTTTTCATGGGGGCTTTATGTTTGTTTTATGAGGTGACAGTTGTCCTTTTAAATTGGAAAAATTAGATTTCCCTCATCTTTCATTTTGATGTACATGTTTTTAATCTTCTAATGGATATAACAAATTTGTAGAGAGCAGTAATTTATCTTTTCTGATTGACCTTAAGATGTACTGTTTAGGATAGCTTTGTAAAATAATGAATATAATGACCCTTTAGAACACTCACAAATGTGCCACTTGTAATATTTTCATACCATGTCATGTGTGCCCTGCTAAGAAAAAAAAAATGGCTGCACCCAAAAATTGTCTTTGAACAATTTATTAATCCATGTGAGATTGAAACAGCATCAATAAATAGTATAGTTCTAGTAAACTGCACTTTTTAAGGTAACATCCAACTTCACTTTCGTATAAAGATTTTACTTTTTACTTTTTGTTTTCTGTTAGATTTATTAAAACTCAGCTATGTTAGTATTATATTAACATATTTCCTTTTACTTTTCATTTGCAGTGATGTGATTGCATGATCTCATCTTGGTTTTGCAGTCTGGGGCTGCTCGTTGCATGATAATTTTTTATTGTTCGGACCTCCTAACCTACAGACTAACCAACTTTAGGTGCTGCAAGCTAACACACATTGCCTATGAGAACAAAGCTTGAATATATTATCCGTTTTTTGGTTTGGTTTTTTTTTTTGTCCCTCTTAGTTTCTCAGTTCTAGTAGCCTGCTGATCAGGTATGGTGCACATTTTAACCATGTCTTTTAAAAATTATTTAGCATTTAAAGTATTTTGCTTTATACATTTAAGTGGGAATGTGAGTGATCATATAATTCTTACACTAAATATGTGGCTTCAAAATACATATTTAAATACATTAAAAATAAGGAATCAAAGAATGTGGGCAAATCCTGGTATGTATGATTTGAATGATGCCCGACTAAGTAAGACTGATGTATTGAGCTGCAGTCTTCACAAGTTTCAACCTTGCATTTAAAGGAACCACTACTCATGCCTAAATGACAGCCTTGGTTTTATGAAGGAGTGTGTATATAAATCCAAAATTGTTTATTTTACACTTTATCTTGTATAATTCTTTATAATTTGCAACATGTACATTTTGGTGTTTAACAAAGAACAATCTTTTTATGTTTACATTTCATGTTTTCTTTTCTTATAAGATTTTATGCTAAATTATATCCTGCTGCTTATTGTATTATATTATGTTATAGATTCTTTGTTTCTAAAATACTTTGTAATTAATTTCCATATACTGGCTGCCTTAGTATTTTATTTAAATGAACCATACTCTTGCATCAATGTATATCTACTCACATCTATTTATAAAAAAAAAATGTATTTGTGTGTAGACATAGAAAATTGCTGCCTGTTTTACTTTATAAAATGAATTAAAATTACATTTTTTTTCTTCAGTATTACATATGGACGAACAAAACATAAGCATCACATTTTTTAAAACTTAAAAATAGCTTTAATGTACTTTTCATTTTATTTGGTCAATTTTAATTTTGCTGTTCTCTAAATAAAATTTCATATTTCTGCGAATTTGGAAAGCTGGAGACTGGTTGTACATTTTAATGTTTTCTTTTCTTCTTATTATTTAGGAGACCTAAATAATGTAACTTATGGCTCTGTTGAGTTAAAAAGATTGGACTATTTAATTTTTTTTTTCTTTAAAGGTATCCAGTACAAATCGTTGCCTTCCACTGGAGGGCACCATTTCCTTTTGTCATAACATTTTAGCCATTTCCCCACAAGTGCAAAAAAAAAAAATTTTAAAAATGTTTTGGGCATGCTTCCAGTCCAAAGATATCCAAAGCTGTTATATAGCATCATAATCAACGTTTTTTAGCATTTTTCTAAAATATTATAATTAGCCAACACCATTTAATTTCTCAGTAGCATTAATTAAATGTGACTGTGCAATCTGTGCTGTTTTGAAAACTGGGATTTTGTAATGAAAAACGCAAGTGTAGTCTAAAAGTGGATCAATCGCTTTCGAGTCCAGTGCAAGGCCTTGCTGTAAGTCACCGAGGTGGATCCATATGAAGAGATATAAAATGTGAACAACTGCTACGTTCCCCAGAATATTTAAACTAAGGCTGTCAGATAGAAGCCACTAGTTACTGGTTTGTTATAATGCAACCGGAAATGTTATGTATGTGTGGGGCTGCTTATGGAGTTCTGTGCATGTATGTGGATTGTCAGTGGTGCTGTGTTTGTAGGTACTGTGTGTGTGGGCTGGTTGTATGAGGGAAGGCTTTTTCTGCAGCTCTGTGTATATCTAGCAGTGTGGGTGGCTTCCCAGGGGTCCACTTGTGACCAGGCTGGGCAGGGACAGGTCAAGGACAGGAGCTGCTGCAGGCTGCTCTACTCCAGTGAGGTTTCCCGTTCACAAGTGCTGGGAGGAAGTGATCTGAAATCACTTTCTCGAAGTGCTGCAATGCATAAATTGAGGATTGTCCCTCACCACCTGCAGTCATTGCTCTGGTTGCACTAGCAGATATTTGAAGTACCACTGGGACTCCTGATTGCCGTGCAAAGGCACCTTAAGTACCATAGGTTGCTGACCCCTGTATCATGGCATCAACCGTCCATTTCGAGATGCTAAACATAGAAGAAGAAGAAAAATAAAACTGTACAACCTTTTCTCTAAGCTACATACGTTTCTCAATTTTTTTTCCTTATGGGTAACATGCTGTCCAGATTTTAAGAATATCCATCTGCATCTGCATGCAAGTCTGCTAAATTAGTTTATCTGTGCAGAGGTGTGAATATTGGAATTCTTAGGTTTTGTGTCTGGTCCTTGAGAAATTGAAAATCATTTTTTTTGGAACAGGGTCTCCAAAACAGACATTAAAAAAAAAAAAAAGGTTTCTGTAATAAAAGCTTTCTCATTGACTATTTTGTTATCAGTGGATTGTGACTGTTCCATTTTACATCAATGAATGAAAAATCTGCAAAATAATCACTATGTCAATGCAGTTAGCCATGCATGTAGCCGGTCACTATGGAAGCTCTGGCTTTAAGACACAAACAAATGTATATAGGATGAAAGGGTTATTTTGAACATGCAATGTACTTTTTACCATTCAGACATCAATGCTTCCAGTGCTACCAGAAGTGTACTTTTGTTAAGGAATATGTAAATAAAGAATTATTTAAAAAAAAAAAAAAATGGTGAGTTGTGTGCTTCCTTTTGAAGATGGGCTCTATACATATGTTATAGCGGTTGAAAATCTGTGTTGGTTGAACATTACAGTATCCACCTCTCTGGCTACAACATAAGAAAGGAACTTAATGGTCATTATTACACAGTGACTGTCTAAAGAAGTAATGCCCAGATCATCTTTGCATGCTAGCTTTAAGGTATAGAAGAATAATAACTTACTATAACTTATTTCACAAAATAACAAAAAAAAAAAAAAACTACTTTTGGGTTAAGTATGAATATTTGCTCAATCTCTAACCCTACGTATTATCCATTATAAAATATGCTTTGCTGTTGCACCTGCATGTCATGTATTTATGCATATACTGTATATGGGCTATCATGACGTTTTGTTAGTACATACCAATTATTATTATAATTTTTTTTTTAAAACACCACATACAGTCAGACAGTATTAAAAGAATGTGATCTAAAAATAATAGTTTTTATACATTACTTGAGGCAAAGTACCTGCATAAAATCTAGATCAAATTTTTTATTTTGGTATAGCTGGTACATATTTTTGTTATAATAATTGTTACATAGTTACATAGCTGAAAAGAGACTTGCATCCATCAAGTTCAGCCTTCCTCACATTTGTTTTTTGCTGTTGATCCAAAAGAAGGCAAAAAAAACCCAGTTTGAAGCACAATTTTGCATCAAACTAGGAAAAAAATTCCTTCTTGACCCCAGAATGGCAGTCAGATTTATCCTTGGATCAAGCAGCATTACCCTACATAGAAAGATTATATCCTTGAATATTCTGTTTTTGCAAGTATGCATCTAGTAGCTGTTTGAACATCTGTATGGACTCTGATAAAACCACTTCCTCAGGCAGAGAATTCCACATCCTGATTGTTCTTACAGTAAAAAAACCTTTCCTTTGCCTTAGATGAAATCTTCTTTCTTCCAGTCTAAACGCATGGCCTCGTGTCCTATGTAAAGTCCGGTTTGTGAATAGATTTCAACACAATGGTTTGTATTGGCCTGAATATATTTGTGATTATGATTCACAATCAAAAACAAATTGCTGTTGCCAATGGAAACACAATGCTTTTTGTAGTATTGGAGAATAGTTTGCTTTTTTATATTGTCTGACCTTGTTTTAAGAGTTTATTTCTCCATATGAATTAATCTATATTGAATCCCTGGTGGAATTGTATAATTTAGATATTGGCAGCTTTGTCTGTCAGTTTGGGATAAGACAGACATTGTAGACTTCCATGAAACAAATATGTAAAAATCTAAAATATATAACGAGAAACTGTTTTCACAACTATCCCAGAGTTCCCAGCATGACATGCAAATAAGCACATTGTGTTTCAGACTTCGTATGACATTTCTGAAGATACCCCTTGAAATAGACAGTTTTAAACACAGGGTGTTGAGTACTTGTCAGCATTTGAAAAGATGCCTATATTACTAAATATCACAGCAATCTCAATTTGCTACAGTTTACCTTATGGTAGTGAAGGACTACTTACTGAAACATATTTTTCTGATGATCACTGAATATAGTTTTAGAACTTTTAGTGAAACTGCAATTTATTATTCGTGGAATGTACTTTTAACATAGTTTTTGTGGAATTATTTATCAATCTATTTATAATACACCACTATACCCAGTCAAAGAGAAACTTGTGAAAGGTCAACTGCTGTTGTCTACCGCATGGTGCATGACCTTAGAGCTGTAAATACTGTCAAAGAGCTCATTGCCCCTAATATTCCAAACTCACACACCTTGCTTTCCCAGGTCCCCTCTTACTGTAATTGATTTGGCAAATGCTTTTTTCTTGGGCTGTGCATGGGGAAAAATTTCGGTCTGGCATTCCGAAATTCAGGACTTAGGCACTTCGGTTTGGTTCGACACTTCGGAACTTTGGCAACTTCGGCATTTCGGGACTTCGGCACTTAGTAGATAACTCCCTTATTTTGGTTATCTACCAAAAGGCGGAAAGACCTAAATTGGTATTTCAGACAAATTCACTAATACTAAGTAAAAATTACTTAGTATTAGTAAATTTTGCCCCTACTCGCTATACCGCGAGTAGGGGCATGTCTATTAAACAGTGAGCAGCTTGTGGCTGCTCACTGTAAAAAAACAAAAAAACATCCCCCGGCCCCCACCTCTGAACGGAGGGTGGGGGCCCTAAAGTAAAATAAGGGGGGAGGACCTATTGTCCTTCCCCCTGGCCCCCACCCATGAGCGGCAGATGGGGGCCTAAGTTAGAATTAGGGGGGAGGATCTATTGTCCTCCCCCCGGCCCCCACCCCTGAGCGACGGGTTGGGGTCCTAAATACAAATAAGGGGGGAACCTATTGTCCTCCCCCCTGGCTCCCACCCCTTAACTGTGGGTAGGGGGCCCTAAGTTAGAATAATGGGGGGGGACCTATTGTCCACCCCCTGGCCCCCAAACGTGAACGTGGGTGGGGGCCCTAATGTCCTCCCCCTGGCCCCTACCCCTGAGCCGTGGGTGGGGGCCCTAAATATCAATAAGGGGGGGACCTATTGTCCTCCCCCTGGCCCCCACCCCTGAGTAGTGGGTGGGGTCCCTAAACTAGAATAAGGGGGGGACCTATTGTCCTCCACCCCTGAGCGGTGGGTGGGAGCCCTAAGTTAGAATAGGGGGGGACCTATTGTCTTCCCCCCTGGCCCCCACCCCTGAGCAGTGGGTGGACGCCCCAAATAAAAATTTAACCCCCCCCCCGGTGACTTTTTTGTTTTGTTTTTTTTACAGTGAGCAGCCACAGGCTGCTCACTGTTTACTAGGCATGCCCCTACTCGCGGTATAGCGAGTAGGGGCATCATTTACTAATACTAAGTAATCTTTACTTAGTATTAGTAAATGTGGCTGAAAGACCAATTCAGGTCTTTCAGTAGATAGCTCCCTAATACCGTGACAGGCTAAGTAACTTACATTTTATATGAATGTGTGTTACTTGATTGTTGTAAGTGTTGCAAATGCTTACAGCTGAATCCTGGCTATGTTTGTATACTTTTTATTTAAAATTGTATACAGTGTAACATTCTTCATTCTTCCACTGGGTAAATACATTAGTACTTAGGCAATACTTTGACACTTAGGAAATACTGCAATTTCGGAACTTCAGGAATTTGGCAATTCAGCTATTCGGATATTCGGAAGTACCTGAATGTCCAGATTGCGCGAAATTCGTTCGAATTCGGATCAAAACGAATTGCACATGTCTACTTTTTTCTCTGTTCCCCAACATCCATAGAGCCAGTACATGTTTGCCTTTACACAATCTCTATGTTTAAACACAGGTTTACACACCACCTGTGTCTACGTGTCTGATTTCCTGAGCGTTCAATATTTTCTAATTTGGAAACCTTGAAGTGTATTATTCAGGTCTTTTCCCTGACAGATACCTATATGAAACTGGTGTATCTTATTTCAACCAATTGATGGCTCGTTTGATGTTTTCTTCATGAATAAAACCTGTGCAAAAGCTGAAATGATAACCCCGTACTTGAATAAATATAGCAGCCATCAACAAGCTGACAAATGGTACAGAAATTTCCTTACATAAATCATACAACATCTGATATAGGCATGGGGGTTGGTTTATAGTTACAAAATAAGTAAATTTTCCAACTTAGTTTGATCAGCCTAGAGAGACACCAGATCATCTGAATATCTAGCTACTTTTACAAGTCATGTTTGGAATATGAACATTTCATGAGGCTCCATAAAGGAAACTGTCAATTTGAAAGATTATGATAATAAAAGATTTTTAAAATACATAAAAGTAACCTTTTTGTTAAATTATTTCTTCATATATAACCTTTTGAGTGAAGACATGCCTATAATTTTCAAATATAGCTATACCATGTTTAGATTTACGTTTTAGATTAGATAAATTTTTCTCTGAGCAGAGTTCTGATAAGACCACCTTCTGATGTTGTAAACTGAGAGATTTATTAGAATTAACATGCCACACAAAATCACATTCATTACCAGCCTCCCTGCCCTCATTAATTCTTTAACCCCTTAAGGACACATGACGTGTGTGACATGTCATGATTCCCTTTTATTCATGAAGTTTGGTCCTTAAGGGGTTAAAAGGTACTGTTACAAACTGCCATTTGTAACTGGCCCTTTAAATGACAAATTGCCCTGCTTCCCTGGATTGTGGAGAAGCCTATTTGCCAGCCTACTTCCTCATGACTATTGCCTCTGGGAGATTGTGAAAACTTATGGACTTTTATTGGGTGTGTATGGCCCTTTAAGACAGTCGTGGGCCTATTGGGGCTCATGGACTTTTTATGGGACTGGTGCAGGCCCTTTAAGCACCTTTTTTGGGGCATAGGGAAAATTGGGACACTGCCCCTTTATGACGGTGTCCCCAGACTTGTTTGGGACACTGCCCCTTTAAGCCTGTGTCCCCAGACCTGTTTAAAACCCTTTGTTCCTGGCTATTAAATGGGGCTTACTGAACCAAGTACCACACAGGCGGACCACCCAGAAGTGGAAGTGTGCAGGCAATTTACCTCCCAGGCTGGGAGCCTGCTGTAGGTAAATTGCCGATCGCTGGGTGGCCGCCGTTCACACAAACGAACACGTGGCGGCGCCATCTTTGTTCATTCAAATACGGTCAGCGGTGTGTGCAGCCAAATTCATGGAACTAAAATTGGCTGCACATTTCCGCGAACACTGCTGACCTGTACCTTCTCCCATACTGAACTTTCAGCCGCAGAGACTAAGTCCCATTCGGCGATGGGACTTAGTCGTTTTTTCAGCCTGAAATAGACCGGCCGCACAGCCCAAATCTATGGAACTGTTTTGGGCAGGTAAATGTGCTTGCGGTCGGTCATAAAGGACTTCCATCTAACTTTTGTGTTTAAAGTGTGTATATTAATTCTGAATATGTAATTTTTATGAAGATTGGATGTATGGTTTTAAAATTACAGTGTATGTATAAAAACTGTATTTTTCCTGC